GTTGCTGAAACATGGGAATTCCCAGAAAAAAAATACCATGCAAAGAGATAATGGAGTTTATTGGAAAGATTCCTTTATCCCATTAAGGATTTTTTCCTAACTTTTCTTGTCCGAAGGTTCTTGGGAGCTACTCTGCTCGATGAAGGTGTCCTCTTTAACCCAAAGCACCCAAGCCCCTTTCCTGGTCAGGGGAGGGAAACTGCTGCTTTTGAAGTTTTTGGAGAGGCCTTCAAAGGCTTTAGGCTTGTTTCCACACAGTCTGTTTATGTGGCTGTAAATAAAGTGCCATTTACAGACAGAAGTTAGGAAGTGGATTTTTACTTGCCCGACTAATCTTATCATGATTGTTAGGTCACATAGAAGTCTGTCACCAAAAGCTATTAAAAATCCAGATAGTGAATTAGTTTTCTTTTTTTCAAGATTCTAAATTATCAAAGTTCATTGCCTGAAGGCAGCAGCAGATACTGAATGTTTCCAGCCTAGAATATACAGTACTTTGAACCTAGATGCTTCAATGATTGGCACTCTTTTAAATGCATAAGAGACCCTCTTATTCTGGCTTAGGCTTAAAATAGGTTTCAAGCAAACTTAGCATTTTCTCTTTTTTTGGCTACAGATGCTTGAATTTCTTGTTCTGAATACTGTATTTAGATAAATGTACAAAATGGATAAAAGATTTTCTTATAGTGTGAGCACTATATAAGATGGAGGAAAATGGCAGGAAAATGCCTAGTGTATTATTGCAAGTATACACTAGCTAGTCCCAAACTAAGTAAGATTTTTGTGGAGTAGATCTAAATATTAAAAACCTGCTAATGATTATAAAAATGTGCAATATAAAATGACTGTGATTGAAATATGCTGAAAGTATGGTTCATCTTATAATGTTCTTGGGGAGTCAGTGTATTTTCCGGCTTTTCGACGTTGATTTTGCAAAGCAGTCATGAGCAAGAGGCAAAGCTCATTTTGAATAAATATTGTCATATTGAAAGAATATTATCAATGACATTGATGTCTTCAGAGGTATGTTTTCGTGGTTGCTTTTTTGCTCTTTTGTTTTTGCTGTCTTTGGCCAGAAAGTGAGGGTGGTAGAGGAAGTTTTGGGAAGAGACCTGCCCAGCAGACACTTTTCACATTATTCTGAGTAGAAATTCTTGCCCTCAAAGAGCAGTGCTCTGATGTTGCAGTAGTGCAAATGATTTATTCTTTATTCTATAATATTCTTTTTAGAATACAGTCAAGACTCGGTGTAAATTGGAAGGATGGGTGGAATGGTTCAGTGAGGAGACAGGATGGGAAGCTGGGAAGAAAAAAAGACCATTGCTTCCCTAAGCCGTAATACAGCCCAGAGGAGCTTCAAGGAGCTGAAGCATCCCGTCTGGGCCAGGCATTATCTTTGCTCATTGGAATCAGCCCCCATCTTGGAGAAAGCAGGACCACAAGAGTGTTGCTGGAAGGCCCAGGGAAGCATGCTGCAGGAGGACAAGGAGGGAAAGGGCACAGGCAACCCAGAGGCCAGCATGTGTTGTGCTGGCCCTGTCTGACCTGTGACAGTGCCCTAGGAAATTTGAACCAGCAAAGGAACTTCCCTTCAGGCTGTTGGTTGTGACACTTGTCTCGATAGTTTTATCCGGTTCTGGAAATTTCTGCCCTGGCTGTAACATTTAAAACCCCCTCACCTTGGACACAATTCTAAAGAGCTTCCATGCATTTGCACTGAGGTTGGCCTGTGCCTTTAGACAGAAGACATTTAGCAAAGTTACCATTTGGCTAGCAGTGTGACTTGCTACTGACTGCGTAACAGATTCCGGAGATTCGTTTTTCTCTAGATGCCACTGAATTTGAGGTCAGCCTAGAAATGTTTATCATTCTTGGATACTTTTGTCTTTTCATTCAAAAGCCAGCGTTTATTTCCATGTGCACCATATAACTTGGAGAGTTATTCTTCTGTATTTGCATGAGGGATGGCATTGCAGTATAGTCTCTCGTAGCCTCTGGGAATGGGGCACTTGCTAAATTGTGCTTGATTTCTGACTGAAGATAATACAGTTTAAAAACGTCAGACCCAGAAATAAACCTAGGATGGCACATAAGCAAAACAGTTTGATAAAATGCAAGTATATTAGATCACAAAGATCTTCTTTTGCCTCTCCCCAAAATCCAGACACAAACTATGAATATATGCGATTGTGTTTAATGTCCAAAGTACTGCGAAACACAGGATGATATGTCTGTACATATTCTCTTCTCCAGTCTTAAATAACATGACTCAGGAAATGTATTTATCTCTAAGGATGTTTCTCAAGGAACTGTACTTTTAGCAAATGGTGATTTCTTGCTTTCCAGAGGCCAGCTGCAGATAGTGGTTGTTTGAAATAGCTGAATGATTTCCTGTTATGAGTTTGTGATAAAAACATAGTAACTGAGTGAGTTGTATTTAGTCTTCTGCTAGTAATATTTGTGTTTTCCATTCTATGGGAAAAGGTACTGAGTTCACTGAAATTTTTTACATGTTGTGAACTTTGCCTGCAAAACTGCAGTTATGATTTTAATGTTCTCACTATTGTGAGATGTGGTGTTATTATTGTTATTACTATTACAGCTAAACTACTGTGATGGGCTGGTTTATGCTGATATAATCCCTGTTAACTTCTGTTCCAGAGCTGGTGTTGGGTCCTGGAAAAGAAATGGACTTCTCTGCCCATCAAAATCAGATGAACGCTTTGAATTTAAGCTTATGTTTTAAAGATGCCAAAGATTGGCACATGTTTCGTTAAAGGGTCCCTATTACAGGGATTATCAGAAAGGCTGCCACTTTACTACAAAATGATTCATACTAAATAACTATGGTGAGGCATATTTTGTGTGTAGAGCAGATAAAACTCATTGTGACTGGGCACACAGGAAGGGAGGGGAAACATGAAGGATGTTGTCTAACCAGTGAGCAACAACATGAACCTGCCTCACCTGAGAACCATGGGCAATAACTGCACAGTGCAACCACAGGTCATGTTTTCTTCCACTGCTGACGTTTCTTGAGGTTTTTAAGGAGCCCTGAGATGTTCCTTATCTTGGCTGTAGCTTGTTCCTGGCATCCCTCTGGTGTCTCAGTCCTGCCAACTCGAAGCTGGGGGAGGACTTACCTACTCCTGGGTTTTAGGGTACTCTGAACTTTTTCCTGCAGTTTCTGTAGTGGACATTCTCCTAGATGCTCACCTACAGCTCTTCATCAGAAAGAAATCAGGCCCTGCAAACTCATGATATTTAGGACCTTGTCCCTAGCCCACACTTTCAGTTCCCCCTCAAAATGACATGGAGTGGCATATCCTTATTCCCAGGCATGCAAGTGCCCAAGTTAAAAACAGTTAATGCCATGACAACAGCGAAGTGGAGTTTCAGTGTTAAGTGTCATGATTTATTACTGCAGTTATATCTTGCGTGTTTGTATTTCCAAGTTTTCCTGTTTAGACAACTGTTCAGACTGTTTGGACTGAAAACAAAGGCTTCTGGAGTGATAATAAAATGACTCAAAAGTGTAGGTTATCTGATGCAGTAGATAATCTGGGTTTTGTTCCAGTCTTTCAAACATTAAGTTGCAAATAGACACTAGAATACAAAAATTATTAGCAGTTACAGTCAGTGTGTTTTAGTTTTAATGAAAACCAGCTGGATATCCAGGCCCAAATAGTTCTGGTGAATGGAGTTAAATCCAGGTGGCAGCCGATCAGAAGTGGGCTTCCCCATGGCTCAGTACTGGGTCCAGTTTTCTTTAATGTCTTTATCAGTGACCTGGATAAGGGGATTGAGTGCACCCGCAGTGAATTTGCAGATGACACCAAGTTGGGTGGGAGTGTTGATCTGCTGGAGAATGGGAAGGCTCTGCAGAGGGATCTGGACAGGCTGGATCGGTGGTCTGTGGCCAACGGTATGAGGTTCAGCAAGGCTTCGTGCTGTGTCCTGCAACCCCATGCAGTGCTACAGACTTGGAACAGAGTGGCTGGAAAGCTGTTCAGTGGAAAAGGACCTGGGGGTGCTGATTGATGGAGCTGAACATGATCCAGCTTGTGCCCAGGCAGCCAAGAAGCCAACAGCATCCTGGCCTGTGTCAGCACCAGTGTGGCAGCAGGGCCAGGGCAGTGATCATCCCCCTGCACTGGGCACTGGTGAGGCTGCACCTCGGATCCTGTGTTCAGTTCTGGGCCCCTCACTGCAAGAGAGACATTGAGGTGTTGGAGCGGGTCCAGAGAAGGGCAATGGAGCTGGTGAAGGGTCTGGAGCACAAGTGTGATGAGGAACGGCTGAGGGACCTGGGGGGGTTTAGTCTGGAGACGAGAAGGCTCAAGGGGGACCTTATCGCTCTATACAGCTACCTGAAAGGAGGATGAAGTGAGGTGGGTGTTGGATTTTATTCCCAAGTAGCATGTGATAGGACAACATCAAACAGCTTCAAGTTGTCCCAGGGGAGGTTTAGATTGGTTGTTAGGAAAAATTTCTTCACTGAAAGTGTTGTCAAGCACTGGAGCAGGCTTCCCAGGGAAGTGGTTGAGTCACCATCCCTGGAGGTATTTAAAAGACATACGGATGTAGCACTTAGGGATGTGGTTTAGTGGTGGCCTTGGCAGTGTGAAGTTAATGGTTGGTCTTAATGGTCTTAAAGGTCCTTTTCCAATCTATGATGCTGTGTACCTCTAATGTACCTGAACAGGCTGTTGATGTGTTTGCTGTACCATAAGAGTAACTTATGCCTTAAGGTAAAGGGGATAACAGACCTCTGAATCATATTTCTTGCCTCCCTTCAGCTAAAACATTCCCATTCGTAATGCTGCAACTTTTGTTAAGGCAAACAGTGAATGAGTCATTGATCTCTGCCCACAATACTATAATAATGTAAACACTGCTAGACGAGCATTATGCATGGGCAGATGGGTGCTGTAGAGTGTTTTTTCTTGCATGTGTCAAAGGCTACGATTTATTTTCTTGCACTGGGGGAGCTGGCACAGATGAAGAGCCTTTTTCACTGGGATCAAAATTCTTCTTTAATTGCTTCTGTGATAATCATAATCTTTCTGTTAACAGGCATTCTTCATAACTGCTGTGAAGCCTACAATGTTGGGCTCCTAGAAGCAAAAATATTTTCTGGTCCATCAAAAGAACAGTTTGGATATACAGTTCAACAGATCATAAATGAACAAGGCAAATGGTAAGCTTGAACAGCTTGTTGTATGTCCAGTTAAAGGTTAAGGAAACAAATGTTGCAACTTATTTTTCTTTTATTATGCTGTATTTCATTTAAATGTTTCTGGTTAACTTATTTTAATATTAGAATAAATACTTACATTATTCAAACAAATGTTGAAATATTCTTAAAAACAGACGCATTTGAAGGTTCAGGCTTTTTCTCTTTATGCTATGCAATCTGAAGTCGTCTGTTAATCTTTTACTTTCATGTCCAATACACTGGTTTCCTCACTCACAATTTCTGTAAAATTTTAACTCTCATTTCATTCCTTCCTGTTTTGTTACACATTACATATACATGGGATATTTTTCCATTTTAACATTTTTGAGGTAAGGCAAATTATTAGGGGTGAGAAGTTCTAATTAACATTAATGTTAATATTACTATTAAAATTAAGTGAACTTAAATTTATGTCATTTTGTGTCTGATACAGCATTAAATGTTCACGTCTCAAGGGATGTCATGTTTGGCTGTATGTAACAACAAAATCCTAGTAAAGGTCTTGTGTCCACTGCATCTCTTCAGCCATAAAATTTGATGTGAAATCCACTGTTGCCACAACATTGGGCTTGATGAGCAATTAGTAAAATATTTTTAGTAGTAATGTTTGTTTCAAAAAGAACTTGAAAATATTAACCCAGAGTAAGCCCATTTAGTGGACGACGCATTGTTTTGTCTTCTACAGTCTCAGCAACCACAAAGCTTAATGGGTCTTTCATGGCAAGGACTATAGTACTATAAATAGTTCAGCGGTACTTAACTATTTTGAGTGGTTATTTGTGTATGCACGATATTCAGTCTATAGCGGAAAGTCACACAAGTCATGTATATTATCATAAGCCAAGACAATATTTTGATGTATCATTCTCTATAGTTTGAAACAGTGTCAGAACCAAAATAGCTGCAAAGTGCCATGTTTGCTTAAGTGATAATGGACGGATAGTAAGTAGCTGAACTTTTCGTTAGAAAGAAAGACATCAAACTCTGAAATTCATGGAAATACATTTGAAAATGTATTTTACAGTTAAAGTTTGCAAAAGCCCATACAAAAGCATTTAGCTGACATATTTATGCATAGCCCTGCACAGAGATGCATATGCTAGATGTAAGACTACCTAGATGTCAGTGTATCTCTGGAATTACTCCTAAACACCGGTGACCAGGAGGAAGAGTAAGAGGAGAGCAGAGCTGTATCCTCTGAACTGAGAACTTACGTTTCCCTCATTGGGTAGGCTCCCAGCCTACCCCCCACTCCTTGGCTGATGTTGTAGTAGCTTCTCACTGTGTTTCTGCCTACTTTAATTATGTGTTTAGTCACCCATAGATCAGAGCTCTCTTCCTTTGAAATTTCTTTTAAAGCCATTGAAGGAGCTCAAGAATGTCTGCCTGAGGTGAATTGAATGCTTTGGCTCTTACATGGAGAAATTATGTCCTGTGTTTTATCCTTGTAAGTTTTTCTACAAGCTTGCAGTAGGAGAACTAGGTTCCAGACTAGTCCTGGAACCTAGTTCTGTTTTGTATTTCCCTGTTTAATTTTTACTTCTGGTAAACCCCCTCCACTACCACTTTCTTGGATCATGTGTGTTGGAGTTCGGGAAAGCAAGTACCTTTGGATTAACTTTTCCTATCTTACAGAATCATAGAATCATTTAGGTTGGAAAACACCTTTAAGATCATTGAGTCCAACCAGTCTCTTCCCAAACATGTAACTATTATGAATCTGGAAAACTTTTCTGTAGATAGGCACTTCATCTTTTTTTCATTCACTGCACAGTGTCTGATCATAGCTCCAAAAGCTAGGGGAATTTTAGCAGCTCTTGTTTGAGTAACCATGACTTGTTAGAGACTCTTCAGTGAGGAAGAGGTCTTTTCAGTCTCCCTCTCAAAAAATCATGGAACAAGCTTAAAAAAAAAGTCAGTCGTGGTTTACTTTCTTGTTCTCTTCATTTCTAAGCTATTTTCTTTTTTTTATTTTTTTTTTTATTTTTTTTTATTTTGTCAGACAATAGAGCTTTTTCTTGGGTGCATTATTTAAATTTAAAAAGCCCAACACGACTCCAGCTGTTCAGTGGACTTAATTTCTCCTACAAGCAGTGTAGAGGCTGCAGTCTGTGTGCAAAGACCTTGTTGACAAAGGTGAATCAGGAGTGAGATAAACAGTCTGAGCTTTGCATAAGAATGGGATGCTGCTGTGAGTCAGAGGGGAGCGTTTATCACCATCATTGTGCAGCAAGAATGTGATGCACTTGAAAATGCTGTTCAGGCACAGTGAGGCTGCTCACAACATCAAATGTTGGTGGGGTGGCATCTCCCTCCAAGGGAGAGGTTATCCAGAATCTGAGATCTGCCAGAAATTTCATCACTTCCTAGACCTTGCTTCTGTTAATAAAATCACATGGTGCTGTATTAAATACAGCTTTAAAAATCCTCCTATACTCTCTAAGAGTGTGCAAAAGAGAGATACAGGAAAAAACAGTAGATGCTAGTTATATTATTCAGCTGTATTTCTGGGAGGTACATCTCCTGAGGCAATAAGAGCTATAGAAAATGATGAAGAGTGGAAAATCTTTGCAGAATTTGGACTGCATACAGTGGTATATTCTTACTTTTGCTTGAAGATGAGTTCAGAGAGAAGAGGAAAGATAGTCAAACCAGGAACACAGGGCTATAAAGGGGGCTTGTACGTGTTGAGAAGCCGTGACACAAACCAGCAAGGGAGCCCTTTTTGTGTAGAGTCAGATGATCCAGGATAATTGGACACTGAAGTGCTGTGCATTGATGGCATGTGAGGCTCATAAATAAGGACAAACTTGCAAGTCAAGCACAGCTCAAGCTTTTCACGGTGTCTGGTGGGAATTTCTAAACAGGAGCTCTCTAATGAACTCAAGGAAGATTGTGAACACCAAAGAAACTCATCAGTAAAAGAAGTTTAGGCAGCCCGCCCTACAAGTAATTAGCCACAAGAGAAACATCATTCAGTTCACACTCTCTTTCTCCCTGTCATGAGATCATCTGTATTTGAGCCTTCAATTGAGACCAAATTCTGTCATTTTATAAGCATAATATTTTAGGAAGGCAGATTGTACCTTGTCAAGTTTGTCCGAGGACAGCAGCTGATAGTACATTCTGCAGAGATAGCAGTACTTACTTCATGCTGATACTTGATTTTATATCTGTGCCAGGTAAGGAAGATTGGGTAACTGTATATAGCTGTTAAAATGCTTTGTTCTACACATACGTGTCTTCAGTTTGTGGATACATCCCATGACAGTGCTAAATCTCAAGACTGCTGTTGAGGTACTATTTGCAATCAAGTTGCAGCCACCCTGCTCATCTGTGTGTGTGTGCTTAGGATCTGGATTTTTTAAATTTTGTTTTGGAATTTTTTATGGGATTTTTCCATTTTAAAACATCTTAGTTTCATTCCGTATCATGTCAGTAACAACACTTTACACTGCCCATACTGATGTGTCACATAATCATTGCACTACTAAATAGTTTTAAAAATCGCTGCATACTTTTCACTAGTCCTCAAAGCCCAACAGCCCTTTCTCCTGAGGTGGTGTGCTGCCTCTTCAGACCAATGAGATATTTTTGCTGAAAAGACACATTTGTGTAGCAACTGTTGTTGAAATCAATACACTTTGAAGCCTTATAATTTTAATGAGGAGGGTAATTTCTGCCAGGTGGGTTTTTTTTGTTTGTTTGTTTTTGTTGGGGTTTTTTTTTTCTCCTTTAAGAAAAAGCCGCTATTGTTACAGCTCTGTCTTTCCAGTGCCAGGACCACTGCTAACACTGAGTTCTTCACTCAGTTTTTGCTTAGTCTGATTGCATGCCTTACAATTTGCCTTTTCCCTGCTTGGAGCAGCTCTGCCGTCTGTCTTCTAGACCTTTCAAGTTTGTCAGTTAAACCTTCTTGCCATAAGCTCACTACTACGAGCTATGAACTTCAAAAAACTACTTTTTGAAGTTTCAAGTCTTTCGTTCAAAAGTTTGGAAGTTTTAGATGGTGAGAAGTATTTTAGGGTGTGCAGAGAAGCATCAATGAGAGTGAAGAGGTTTTCATATCTATTCATCACTTCCTGTAATTGTAGGGGAAAGGTCCAGATGATTTAAGAGGTCCTTTCTACTTTTATTTTCCTATTTCCTATTAGCCATCTTTGTGTTTAGAAAACACACGAAAGAGCAAATGCATGAAAAGAAAAAAAAAAAGAAAATAGAAAACTTGCTCTGACAACAGCTGGGAATTCAGCCCTTCGCCATGAATTCTGATTTTGTTTTCTGCTACATCACACTTTGCCAGTTACTAGCTTTGTCATGGTGTAATTTCCCAGAAATAATTTCTGTTCCACTTTGATCTGCCACTCCTGCAGCCTGTGTGGTATGGCATTGCCGCTGAACTTTATTTGACTTCATGTAGTTTCATTGCTTTGTGTACAGTGTTGGAGACTTATTAAGGAGCTGAATAGTAAAAACAGTGGCAGTATTACACACTAATCACTATAGCGTTGTGTAAAGACAGTCTACAAAGACGCATAAGGAAATTTCATTAAAATAAATATTTAATTCATGGCTGAAAATGGCCCTTAATTAATAAACTAGACCTTATACCATTTATTTGGAAACAAGCATTTTCAAGTATTTTAGTGTTCATTTCTTAACATTCTTTCCTGATAAGTTCTCTTTCATTCTGCTTCATGTTTAATCACAGTAAAAAATACTTTGTAGTTAGCAGGATGCTAGCCAGATACTCTTCTGCTTTCTTCACTTCTGATGTTTCAGAAAAATACTCATGCATATTCCCAGAGTGGTATTGTGTAACTATCTACTGTAATGGTTTTAGTTAATTTTCGAAGGCAAGTAGGACTTGCTGATTTCTAATATAGATTAAGGCTAATATTAAGCTTAAGTAAGGCTCAGGATATGAAAGGAATAATAATAAAGTTATTTCCTAAAGTTATTTAAGTTTGGCAATTAATTGATACCAAATGTGCAGGGCTAGGCTTGGCAAAAGTTGGTTAGTAACTTTTTCTGAGGAGTGTGTTGACGGCAGGACAGGCTAATTAAGTCACATAAAGGAAGGGGGTTAATAATTGTGTTCACTTCTGAAAATCACAATGTCAGTAATAGGTCTAAGTGTTAAATTCTGTGTACGGGGTGGCATTTTTTTGGCTTACAGCATAGTTACAGCATTGAGATTCCTGCACCCTACAAATCTACAAGGAAAACTAATACGGCAAAAGGGAATACAGTATAATAACTTGTGGTAGAGTATGAGGAGTGCAAGCTAAATGAAAGACACAATTAAGTTTGCTTTGGGCACAGTTGGCATAGATTTAGATATGGGTTTAAGATTAGAACAGTCTGCCTTGTTTGGCTTACATTTTTCGTTTGTACCATGTGACAGCTACAAGGATAGTTGTAATAAAAGTAAAATTTTGTGAATATTAAGTCCTAGAAATGGATTTGCTATGAAGAGTGATGGTTCCTTGGTTTAAATAGATGTTTAGGCTGGAATTAATGTTGACGTTGGGGGAAACGGGAGTTTCAGAGCTCGCATTACTGCTGAGCAGCTTAAAACCCACGGAGTGAGTGTAAGCATGCACGCATGCATGCTGAAAGGGAGAGAAGTGCTTTTTCTGAACTCTGTGGATAGCGTTTGTCTTCAGACAGAGTGGTGCATGGGTATTTCCAAGATCTGTTACGGTCATTCTTTGAACAGTAGCTGTCCTCAGGCAGGGACTCCAAAATACATTTACCTTCTGGGAAAATTAGAAAAATGTACAGTGCAATTTTCAGCTTGACAGTTAACGAGGAAAAAATGTTTCAGGTATTACACACGCAGTGCTGCCGTCCTTTTTAAAACTGTTTTGTGTTTCCATGAAAACTGTTAGTCCTTCCTCTCTTCCATCAGCCCAGTTAGTGTTTTATAACAGTAATTAACTCTATAGTCCATAAAAAGGGGGAAGACTGTAAAGCATGTTTTCCTCCTGACAGTCACTAGTAACCAGATCCAGTCCTCTGTATCCCTGCAAGTGTTTGCTGGTTGCATCATCTATCAGCACATGACTGATAGATTAGTTTCTCATGAACTCTGGTTACTTGGTCCTCAGCTATGATGGTTCTGGTTTCTGCTGTGCAAAAAAGACTATATTCCTCAGAAAGCAGCAAGAATGTAAGACTTGCATTGAAGTCATAGAATCACAGAATGGCTTATCTAGTTCCAACCCCCTGCCACAGGCAGATACACCTTCCGCTAGAGCAGGTTGCTTAAAGCCCCTGTGTCCAACCTGGCCTTGAACACTGCCAGTGATGGGGCAGCCGCAGCTTCTCTGGGCAACCTGTGCCAGCACCTCAGCACCCTCATAGTAAAGAGTTTCTTCCTAATACCTAATCTTAATCTACCCTCTTCCAGTTTAAAACCATTCCCCCTTGTCCAGTCCCTACCTGTCCCTGTAAAAAGTACCTTTCCCGCTTTCTTGGCTTGTTATCTTTGGCTACTTACAAAATTTCGGAGTACAACAATTTTGTTTCTACCAACCTATTGACCAACTAGAAAAGATGGTTTTTGTGATACTCCATATTTTGTGCTGGGGTCCCATTGCTTGTCCTTTGACTGTCCCATAAATGAATTAAGTATAACCATAGACTGTTCTGTATGACAGCCATATTGCTGCTGGAGCAAAAACCCAGTCTCTGCTTTGTAATGAACTGTTCCTTTGTTTTTTTCATACACCTTGAGGTCATTTTCTTATGGTAATGTTTTTCCTTACCCTTATTTCACTGGTCATTAAATTGCATAATGAGTTGTCTTTGCCAGCCCTTTGTGGCCCTGTACTGTCTGTTGGTTTTACTCTCTCATAGACTTGTGCTGAAGAATAAGTATTCTTAAGCAGTATTCCCAGCTTTGTGAAGGCTTTCAGGTAAAATTGAAGTGGTCTTGAGGAGCAGATGTTAGAGCAAAAACCTTACGTCAGACAAAGAAAGGAGTCTGAGAAAGTGAATCACTTTGTATTGTAGGCACAAATTACCTAAGTCCTATCTTTCTGTTCAGGACTAAATGCTTCATGCAGCAGGCTGTTACCACCTGCAGTATTTTCTTTCTGACTCAGTGTTGTCAAGGTGTGGTAGTGTTCAAGCTCAGACATAAGCATTTGACTGTTGCTGAGCAGATCCTGTAGGAAATGCTTCTTATCAGTTAAAATAACAACTTGAAAGGAATAAGTTAACCATTAACTGACAAGGCAATTTTTTTTTGTCTCAATCCCCAATGTGTACATTTCAAAATTTGTATGCATCTGTATGTATTAATATCTCTGCTGTATTTCTTCTGACACTGTGATGTACTGTCACAGAAATAACAGTACATGTATTTGAGGCAGCCTAATCCCCAGAGGCTCCTACACCAAAGCTGTCCCTGCTGAATCCACTGTATTAACAATAAGTAAAGCTTCTGAGCAGCTCTGGAGAAGACTCTTGAGTGCCTTAGGTGCTATATCTGGTAAAAGCTTCTTTACCTGTTACCTACAGTGTGCTATGCAGTAGTGCTGCTGGACTTCTCCAGTGTCACTAAATTCCTAATGAAGTTCCTGTTACTTTAGGTTGTTGGTTGGTTCACCCTGGAGTGGCTATCCCTCTAACAGAACTGGAGATATCTATGCATGTCCTGTTGGTACGTCCAAAACCACATGTAAAAAACTGAATTTACAAGGTAAGTTGTAACAAGTAATGCCTTGCTCCAGTTGTTCAGTTTTTCCTTGGTTTTGTACCAGGCCTATCTATCTTATTAAAACTTTTCTTAACTATCTCACTATTTGTATGTGTGTGTGAGTGCTTCAAGGACTCAGTGCCAGCTGCAGGTGAGACGCATGTGTGTGTGTGAGCCAAAATTGGTGCTGGCTGTTGGAGTCAGGCTGAGCTATGGGTGTCCTGACCTGTGGTCTCAACACCAGATACTGCAGCAACTGGGATCCTTAACCTCAAGCTATGGGCTGGGAACAGTGTGTGTCCCAAAACCAACTGATGGCAAGGGGACCAGGGCTCTGTGCCATGGAGGGCCCCATGCTGACAGCTGGAGCAGAACCACAGGACACAACCCAGGGGACTAGTGAGGGTGCTGGGGCAGCAAGTGTCTGCATCTTCACCAAACCTGGCATCTGTGCGTATGTGCACTAGCAAACTGCTCAGCTGGACCACCCAGCTGAGGGGGACCTCAGGTCCAGGTATCAGTCCATGCTGGGATGCCCGGGGTGACTTGTCAATGTTGAGTGTACGAGGGACGAGTGTGTGAGTGGCTTTTTCTGCCTCTGTGTGTTTGCAAACTAAGTATAAAATGCGATTCACTTTTGGATACAGTGAAAATACAGGGCAGCGGTGTGTGCTGAGATGCTTGCTTCATGTTTATTTGTGGTGCAGATCATTTCTGTCCTCTACAACTCCTTCCATGTTTTTGTCTAAAGCCTGATAGTAGATGAGAGGAGTCTGGTGTCCTGAGGAATGTAACAGTAGCTGCTCAGCTGCAACAACTCAGCCAGCCAAAAATACACAAAAATATGTTTCTTTCTCCCTGTTGCCCTTAGCTCTTTCAAGCGCAGGTCCTCTAAATGGACATACTGAATTAATGTCTGTAGTTAATGGTTAGCAAGTTTTTGACAAAGATTAGCTTTTGTTTCTTTTGTCTGAGAATTGTAGGCAGCCATTTGGAAAAATTAATCTTAGATCCTGAGAAATCAAGATTTCGAAAATGAATTCTAACCTGCTAAGTTGCTTCTATATCTTATTTACTATTCTGTCATTATTTAATCTTTTTTTCCTTCAGCTCTAATAAATATTCCAAACGTGACTGAGATAAAGGAAGTCATGAACCTTGGCTTGACTCTGATACAGAACTCAAAGACAGGAGGATTTTTGGTATGTATCAAGGACATACTCAATACACATAGAAATTCCTGAGGACAATGAAGAAACCAGAATTCTCCACATTTTTTTTTTTTTAATAAGTCCAAGCCGAATGTATTTTATTATGCAGCATAGATTAGTACATATTTTGCATATTTTAAAATACTCCATCCTACTGTCATTACCTGTTCAAAAGTCAGGAAAATTATAGAATCTTGCTATCATTTATATAAGCATCCTGTGGAAGGGCACATAATTAAAGATTCTGTGATGAGTCAGACAACATAGGCAATATTTCCACCATGGACATCTCTAAGGCAATCTTGTATAGTTCTGGTTACGCTTTCAAAAGACAGCATGGAATCTGCCTCCCTCCGCATGCCCTTGCACAGAGACTGTTACCCTGAGATGTTAGCATTTCTAGTTCCGTGGATCTGCAGTATGTTTCATTTGGTTGGTGAGCTGGAGGATATACACAAAATATGTGTATGTTTTTCAAACAACTCTCCTTGTGGCTAGTAAAACAGATTGCATAACTGAAACAAGTTGGTGCCTGCTTAATAGGCTTTTTTACAGTGTTAACCGCATGAAAACTGTTGCAGTGTATGTGTATTCCAGTTTGATACATCGTTGTAGGCATGTGCAGTAATTCAGTGAAACAATAAACTACAGACAAAAGAGCTTTGAGGTTCACTTTAACCTTTGTATTTTTGTGTTGCATCTTCCTAGTAATTACAAAAGTATTCAAATGTTTATTATCTTCATTACCACCTACCCCAGTTCACTGAAATACTTAAAAGTAAGTCTAATTCCAACCTTTCCAGCAGCATTCTTGGAGTTAGTAAAGTTAACCAGAACTTCAAAATACAGCAACAGTTTTCTTCTTGATGTTGTTTTGAGAAGACACTGATTAAAAAAAATCTTACTCTGACTCTTGGATATTACCTTTAGTTGCTGTTAGTATCGTCCCATGCATACCCACTTTCAACCAGTATCAGTAATTGCTGTGGTTTTAAATCACATGTCATGCAGGAAAACTTGTGTTTTCTAATAATTCTTGAACTTCTCTTACTTAAAAAGAATTTCCTGATTATTGATTGATTCTCCTTAAATTTCATAAAGTAACAAAAAAACCACTGAATGCTAAGAGATGAACAGTTAGATATGTCTTTGGCAACAGGAGTTCTTTTTGACATAAGGAGAACTGGGTACTAGAGACAGGTGCTTATTTGTGACTCAGCCTCAGCAAACATCGAAAGCCCCAGGACTTGTTGTCTAATTCTTGCCACAACTAAGAGGAGACCATCTGATTGTAATTGCAAGCTGCCGTCAGCCACGCCTTCTCTCTGAGACACTGTCTCTGGCAGCTGGCCTCTGTGATGGGCTCTTTGGTTTATGCTCAGGGCTTCCTCCTCGAGTTTATGGTGCTCCTTCCTCCTGTGGCTTCTCCTCAGCCTCCATCTCAGCTTGCACCCTGCACTGCTTGGCTGGAGCGTGACCCAGCCTGGCATGTCTGTGCTATAGCTTGTGAGTCCTGCTGGTTCAGCTAATTTGATGCCATGTGATTGCTTCCCACAGGTATCCTAAGCACAAGGCAGCAATTTCCACATGCTCATTACATTCTTCTGAGGCGTGCTTAGTCCTGTTGGAAAGGTGCTTAAGAATTTCACTGATGGTTAGCAGCTTCTTTCCAGATTTCTGATCTGTGTTTCTGTCAAGTCTGTTTTTGGGGAAGTACTTCGCATATAGTTGAAAGGAACAGCTCCTATCTCCTACATGTAAAACCTCCTTTCTGTATTTAACACCCCACAATCATTCTCAATTGTCCTTTGCTTTGCTAAACAAACACATTTTTGTTGTATTCCACGAGTGTTTCCACGACACTATGTAGTGTATTTTGAATTTCCCTGTCTCGACTGCAGGTGTTTCTTGTCACGTGTCTTTAGGCCATATTTGATTTGCATGCTGGCTGCAAGCTTATGGTCACCCTGTGATCAACCAGTACCTGATCAGTCTGCTGTTCACTTTTCCACTTAGTGAGCACCTAGTTTATGTCTGCATTTCTTAACATTAGTCCTTAAGGACAAGGCTATGCTGCTTTCTAGTGTTCCACTTTTCAACTTCATCTGTTCTTCATATGTGATCTCCCAGTTTTCCCCTGCATTAATGTTGCATCTTAAGTTTCTAACTATAACGACACTAGAACATTAGAACTTTTCGTTATTTTTTTAAGCAAAGATGAGCAAAGCTTATTAGAACATTTTAGAACATTTCTACTTTTTCTTAAAGATTAACATCACCATTCTGAGTTACTAGGAAACTAGAAAATAGGCAAATGAGATTAATCTTCAGAGAACTTCAAATTGAAAAACAGCTTTAATTTAAAAACTAGTAGCACTGTTCCAGCTTCACAGTTACCAATATAGATGTTTTGTGTTACCAGTATAGATATTTTGTGCATCTCACCTCTGTAAATATCCATCTTTTCCAGTAAAACTAATCATGCTCCATGTAGCCACTAAAAAGAGCACTTACCTCGAGATCAGATTATGTAGATGTATTTCCTTTCTCTTTTCTAGAAAATCTGCCATCTTGTCAAATATATTAAGATAGTTTGGTGTGGTCTGCCACTGGTAAACCAATATGTGATTTTCCATTTACTTCTGCCTTTAATTATCTTTTCTTTTCCAGTGTTCTTAAGAAAAGGGTAATAGTGCCATTCACTCTCTCTTCTCTTCCTGAATAGAGATGGTGCATTTTCTGTTTTCCAGACTTTCCCAACTAGGTAGGGCAGTCAGAAACTACACATAATGAAGTTTCCTTCAGAACTGCTGGACAGAGGTTATGTAGAGGCTCTGGTTTTTTATTCAGTTTGTGACATGATTTTTATTCAAAAAGAAAATCCCTCCCGGCCTCCCAAATATCCTCATTACAAAATACTGTCTCAGCGTCCATCTTTGATACACAGGAACTTTTGTACCTATCCTTGTGATATCAGAGGCCTGGCTCTCGTGCAGCCAGCTCGTTAACTGAACTGAAAACGTTTCTTTTTACAAAGATTATTTTCAGAAAAGAAGCAAAATTAGTTTCCCTGAAAGACAGTGAAACACGTACCTGAGGGCTAAATAGGACAGTGCATAACATGAGTTTAACATAACTATTTTCACAAAGTGAATTTCCCTTGGGAACAAGGCTTCTCAAAGTAAGAACTGTGTGCGCACTGGTCTCTAAACCGTTCGGTCTGGTCACACTGTTGGTGGTAATCGGATTTACCGCAAGAACAACTCTCCTGTCTTCGCAGCGTCCTGCATGCTCATGGCTCTGATGCCATCTCCTGGTTAGTAGAAGTACTTCTCTGCAAATGTGCGAATACCAGCTCAAGATTTAAACCAACAGTTTGTAGAGCAGGTGGCTTAAAGCAGCTCAGATTGCTTGCAGACCAAGTCACACTCCCAGATGTTATAGCTGTGCATAGTCTGAAGGGGCCAGCTTGCAGAAGGAGGCACTAGGATGATCATGAATAGAAAACACTCTCAGTGAGAAAGCCCGTTAGAGGTATTACACTGTGATTGCAAGGGATTTGGCTTGATAACCCAAGAGGGCTCCTCTGATCCTATATGTCTGTAGTTCTGTTTATTGTGCTTTTGTGTATGGATAAAGACAAATATTTGTCATTTTTATAGTTTCTTTTTGTTGTTATTTTTAAGACTTGTGGTCCGCTGTGGGCACAGCAGTGTGGAAGCCAATACTATGCAACAGGAGTCTGTTCTGAAATCAGTCCAAGTTTCCAGCTCCTAAGAAGCTTTACTCCTGCTATTCAAAGTAAGACAACGTGCAAACCAGATTCTGTTAAAGAAACATGTCAGGTGAAATCAAGATATGTTGTGTCAGGGACTACTAATTTGGGATTTTTAAAAAAAATGTATAGGCAAAAACCAAAGTCCTGTGATTCACACATAAGGACTTAAAAATTGTGACCCAATGCTGGTATAAATATGGACTCAGTCCTTTGAATTAAGAGGCACAGCACCAGTGCAGGCTCGGAATTTGCGTATGCTTCTATTGAGTCCTTGTTCTGGCGAAAACTGAAGTGTTGCCTGTGTGAGACCTAAATGTGCACCTCTGGATTTAGCCAAAGAATTATGTTGAAACTGAAAGTGCATTTAATGTCCGCTTTTTATTTTTACTTTAGAGTGTTCCTCCCTTATAGACATTGTGGTGGTTTGTGATGAGTCAAACAGCATTTATCCCTGGGACGCAGTGCGGGCATTTTTGAAAAAATTTGTACAAGGCTTAGACATAGGCCTTAACAAGACCCAGGTAAGTCGCAGACCTCTTCGAGAGAGACCAACAATAAAAAGGAAATGGGTTTTGCTAGCAAATGTAAAGGAAACCAAGTGTACTACAGTACCTCCCGTAAAGCCACAGGTTATACTGTTGTCCTGTACCTTTCATTATTGTTTTTTATTTCACAGCTAGCCTGTTTTGAAAGGGATTAGAAATTCGATTCAAACATAAACCAGCCGAAATAAAAGTCTAGGTTATAGCTATAGGAGTCAGATCTCTTTTGTGCCTTAGGTGTAAAAGTAATTAAAATATAGCCTGTGGGCATGTGGTAAAGGTAGAATAGATTTTTTTGGGGTTTTTCATGTGAGTCTTACTTTCAACTGCTGCATCTTTAGAATAGTTTTTCCTGCTTGGTTACTCTCTGGTTTTTGTGTTCTTTTTTCCTTTTAATTTGATGATGGTAAGGAAAATTTTACTGCTGCTTTTTTTTTTTTTTTTTTTTAAACATTTTCTGTCTTTGCAGTTGTCCATTTTCCATAAACAGTTCTGGGAACAAAGACTGGGGCACTGGAAATCTCTCTCCCAAAGGCTGCCTTCTTCCTTGGGCTAGTTTGGAAGTGAGGTGCTTAAAAGCTAGGCTTCCTGCTCAGTCCTTTCTGAACTTCACCTTTAGCATCATCTCTTTTTTTCTTTCATACTAAATGTACTCAGCATATGTCTTTAGCTTCACCTGTATTAAAAATAAATAGGGTTTGAAGTGCTGTCAAGTAACTAACCTTTAGGATTTTCTTAGAAGAGATCAGATTGAGGTGCTGTCAGCTTGTAGAATTTTTGCTATTTTCTCATTTTTCCCAGAGCTCTTCATTCTATTGCTATCCATTAGCTCTTCCAGAAGTAACCAAGCAAACATTTAATGCCTACTATTTCAGATCGTTTGCATTAACATAATGTAGTCCATAATAAATGACATAAGGTGCAAGAGCATTATAGCTTTCTTTGCTTTCCAAACCTGTTAATGTTAATTGGTTTTATATGTATTGGAAGAAAATTATAACCCCATGTGCCTTTGCAGATCTTTTACTCCAAAGCGATAAGTGTCATGATTATATGTGAATGTAATGTGAGGTGACCTAACATAATTTATTTCTTGCATAGGTGGGTTTAATTCAGTATGCTAATAATCCCCGTGTAGTGTTCAACTTGAGTACATATCAAACAAAGGATCAGGTTGTTAAAGCAATGGCGAGAACGTATCAGAAGGGAGGAGATCTCACTAATACTTTCAAAGCCATTGACAATGCAAGGTAAAATACATTGATGATTACTGTGCAACTGTTGTAACTTATCTTACAGACAATGAGCACATGCTGAATTTCATTCCTACTGGGAGTGCATATGCTTGGAGCCTCTCAGGAGGCTCTCAGCACCAGGCAGAATCACTCAGGTATATTTAGAGTGCCCCATGTGAACACTACAAGGATATATAAACTAAATTTGCCGAAAACCATTGGGTTAGACCCTACACTAAAGTATTTCTGGTACTCAACAGAATTGTTTGAGCTGTCATAGATGTGTAAACATGACAGTTCAATGAACACCATGGGCAAGCTTTTAGGAAAGATACAAGACCACTGAAAGAAAGAAAAGTTTATCCAGGGATTCAGTGGGACCAGTAAGATTGGTGTTTGCAGAGAAAATAAGATCTCTTGTCTGCTGTCAGTTTGTCATTGCAGCACCAGCAGCATGCAAAATGTGCTATGACTGAATGCATATACAAACCAGGTCTGTTTCTCAGAAGGAAGATGTTGTTTTGCAGGACAGGACTCTAGGCCAAAATATATAATGAATCAAATGGCCTTGAAAATTTTGTTTAGGAACATACTCAGCCTTAGGGGAGTCAGTATTTGCAGTAGTATTGAGGAACCTTTTATTAGTACTCTTCTACTTCATTTTGAATTTGGTGGACCCAATTCCTGACTACTCTGGTGTTATAAAACATTAATAGTTCTGACAAAAAACCCACCCTTTTTTATTTAGAAGCAGTTGTACAAAAAAAGTATTGTTTTCCCTGGTGTGTACATTTCTATCAGAAATAACACCCAGTCCTGGCTGGATTTTTCTTTACTTCCTTGATTACATTTCTGATGGCTCTTTGGGCTGTGCTTTCAGAAGAAGCTATTAGGAGCATAACTGAAAATTCTTACTGCAGATAGTTAATTTACAAATTAAAAAGTCAGTGATGGACATATTCATTACAGTATATATACTGAATTGTATCCATTATAAATGGACATGTGATAAATCCAATATTTTATAACAGACAGCATGCCTTCTCACCTGAATCAGGAGGACGCCCAACAGCCACAAAAGTAATGGTTGTTGTGACAGATGGTGAATCCCATGATGGCTCCAACTTGAAAACAGTGATAGGTAAATGCAATGAAGACAACATAACCAGATTTGGCATTGCTGTAAGTAATACTATAATTATGTATATTATTGCAATTTTTGAAAGATCATTTTGTTGTATATGTATGAAAGTACACGTTCTATATTGAAGCTCTATATAATGCATGCATTATTGTGCTGGTGAGACTGAAGCTAAGGCAACATTAATCTGCATGAACTAGCAAAATATTGGTTGTCTTTAAGTGGTGAAAAAGAAAAAAAAAAGGGGGAAAAAAAAAGAAGATGACTATTATCTGAGCAACCTCATTGGTTTTCTCCTTTGCCTTGGTTTATGTATTTTTCCTGTCTGAATGGTCCCTTGTATAGGAATACAGTCTGATAAGTAGTTCGGTAATACGAATGAAGGTAATTGAATTGAGTTGAATTGCATGGAGTAACACCATGATTTCCTTCACTCTTCTGTCTGTGTTCTTTTTTACCCCAGGTTTTGGGATACTTAATCAGGCATGAACTTGATACTAAAAACTTAATTAAAGAAATCAAAGGAATTGCTAGTTATCCAACAGACAAGTATTTCTTCAATGTGTCTTCTGAGGCTGCACTACTGGAAGAAGCAGGAACACTTGGAGAGCGCATTTTTAGTATAGAAGGTAAAATACTCAATGTCTCTGAAAAACTAGATCAGATTTTCCCAACTGATGAGCTGAAGATTTTATTTAGCTTCACCTTAGTATAGTACTGTGAAAACAAGGGTCAGTTGGAACTGTAGGCTGATCCCTGCTCCCCAGGAACTGAGCTTCAAGTTAGTTTCTGCAGTTTGTGGGAAATACTCCTCAGTTGCTGAAAACTTCAGTCAAGTCATGGGCTTCAGGCATCTATTGGGAGCTTGTCCATATGTGTCCAAATGTATTTGGAGTTATTACCACTGGAGGAATAAAGGTAATTTTATGCTTGTCAGGTTGATCTGTGTGAATTAAAGCAAGTGTACATTTAAAACACAAATCAGAAGACTAGGTGTACTGTTTGGAGAAATGTGCTGTAGAAGTGACTCAGAGGCACTTTGTTGCCCCTAAACCCGACTTTTTTAGTGTCAAATTTAGACCTTCCTTGAGAGACTTGTGACTTGCTCTCAGTCTTCCCTGAGGAGCTTCTCCTGGCTGTGACCTTCCTGTGCTCAGGATGAAATCTTTTCTTCTTTCACCTCTCTCCTTTACCAGGCTTATGCTGCAAATCAAGTCAAAGTGATTGGTTGAGCTCCTCCTCTTGGGTTTTGCTGCATAATTCCATTGAATTCCTGCTACTTGAGGCTCATCCATCTAGTTTAGGAAATATTCTTGGAAGTCACGGGACTTTTCAAGATAATTACAACAGTTTTTATAAGTTCTATATGAGAGTAAACATTCATATTCTGTTTGAAAATTATGAATATACAGTTACTAAAGCTGCTACTTTCAGTTTATTATTAGTGCTTTGTAGGAAACAAAGAGATTATCTACAGTGACAAGACTGTGCAAGCTGATTCAAGGCATCTTTATCGTGGTCTGCCTTTTTTGGAAGTGACTCATAGTATTGGGGCTTCATCTTAGCAATTTGCCATTAAATCCTCTAAATATTCTACAGTTTATCGGCTCCCACATTTCCGTTGTTTGTAAACACTGGAAATGCTTTATCAAAATTGGTGGATTTGTTAAAAAATAATGTACAGTTCTATGTAGCTATACTCAGAGGCAGCAAGATTGGTTCCCTTGTCTGGTTCTATAGGGTTAATGATACATGAATATCTGTTTTACCAGGTACAGATCAAGGTGATACATTCCAAATGGAAATGTCACAGGTGGGCTTCAGTGCGTATTACTCACAGAAAAAGGTATGTGATTTTAATTATTTAATGATAAAATGAGATGTAATTATCTGGACATGAATATTTAGAAGTGCAACAAAGTAAGACACAAAAAACACATTGACCAATTTTTTTACAAGCAGAGGAATGTCAAATTATCCTCTTTTTGGTCTTCCTTTTACTGGAATACCACAAAAATCACTTCTAGAAGCTTGTGTATATCTCTAAAATGAAAAAATATACATTAATATGTCAACTTGAGTAAGTTTCTTTTATGTAATGATTTTGAAAGGTGTTAATCCAATGATTTCAGTGATTTCTGAGTTCATGTAGCGTGAAAAATTCAATTTCCCCAAGTTAATATTTTGCAGTTGAGTAACTCAGAGAAATTGAAACCATGTTTTAAAGCTGGTATGCTTCTAGGCAGTCACCAAAACATAGATAAATCGAGTCTGAAAAGAATTTACCTAATATTTATAAAGTTAATTATAGTTTTTTAAAGACTATTTCAGTTAGAATAGTAAAGCAGATATATTTTTCATGCTATTGAATTTTAAGATTATCTTGATCAAATAGGTCCTTTTTGTAAATTCCAGTGAGGTTCAAGTAGCTTTCAACTGAAAATACAGGAAGGTTGTTTCTTTCTTGTATCTCTTTATTTGCACAAATTGAAGTTTTAATTTACCAAGCATTTGATGCTAGTCAATGGCAAAAATTAAGATTTGGGAGTTTCTTCAGGAAAACTATATATCCTATTTTTATTGCAGTTTGCTGTAACAGCCTCTCAGTTCAGTGAAGAATCCTAATAATGTAGATAATCTAAATTATGTATCTTTTCCATGTATAAGTCTAAGTATTTCTGTATTAAGTATTCTAAATAAGAAGCCATATTAATTTGGATTTTATCTTTAACCATTCCCTCAAGGACATCTCCTTACTTAAGGAATTAAATTTTGTATCTTTGCCCATCGGCTTTTGTGTCCTGTCATTGGCACTTTTGTTGGCAAAAAGGGGGCGTGAGCTTTTTCTTACAGTTTTGGTTTTGTGTTCTCAGTCTTCTGAGGAACATGAGTGTATAAAAGCATAGGTTTGGCAAGACCAGCAGCAAGGTGGACGTGCTTGGGAAATTATCAGTGTTTAAATAAACCCATTTCATCTTCAGTTGCAGTGCCATGGGAGCTAAAGCAGTCACTTACCTTCTTGCAGTAGAGGGGTAATAATTCCTCTTAACAGGGCAGTAAAGTCGTGCATGTAAATTGTAACTGTAAGCAGCTCCAGTAACCTGCTTGCGTTAGACAGTACATCACCGCCTTAAACACAGCGATGTAGGAAATTATGTATAATAACTGAAGCTTTGCTAAAACTTTTTCAAAAATAGGTAGTTTTAGAATGCAGATTTTTATTTTTTAAAGGATGTTCTGCTGCTGGGTGCTGTTGGGGCCTATGACTGGAGTGGAACAGTAGTTCAGGAGTCTTCAGAGATGGTCACCACCTTTCCAAGCCATGTGTTTGAAAAGATCCTACAGGACAGAAATCATAGTTCTTACCTAGGTAAGGGGCTGAAATACAAACCTGGACGTGTATCAATCCTTCGTTAAGATACTAAATAACTTAGCACTTAACTCCAGCCAGATTCCTGTTAAGAACTGATTTGAGAATATGAAAAGAATTTTGCATCCAAAAAGGTTTTATTTACTGGTCAACAGTCTGCTGAATTAAATCTTTATTGTGTTTTTTAAATTCTACTCATATCAATGTGGTAAGGTGAAAAAAATAACAGGCTTTATCACAGATATGTAAAAAGTCATGGGTTTTGAAAAGGCTGCTTAGCATATTGTACTGATCAATGTGGGTTCCTTCAGTTTTAATATTTGTATATACCTACCCAATTACATGTGGATGAGAATTGACTTGCTGTTGTTTCATCTGTTCTCACCCTTTTCTTAGCCTTATCCAATTCAGTTTATAGTTTCAGGAGTATTGCTGCAGATTAACAGAGGTCTTATTTACAAGGCCCGTGTATTTTCTGACGTGTTTTTGTGACCCAACGAGGCCAGCAGTTTGTCTTCTCAGATCATTGAAATGTCTTCTGCAAACCTGCAGTGTGCCTGCTCTAGTGATTCATACCTGAATAATGCTACTACGTTAAGCACATATGACTAACTTATCCTTAAAGTTATTTAGTGAGATTTTTTTTTTGCAAATAACATGCTGTTTTCCCTGTGGCTTAGCATTACTTGCATCCAGCACAATGAATAAATCTCAGTGTAACCTGATGAGCAGTTGCTCTTCTGCCTGTGATCTCTTCAGAATTTCTATTCCTTCCTTTTCTAGAATAATTTTTAAAAGATGAGGTCATTTCCTTTCAGCACTTCTCCACAAGGCACTTTTAGAATACTGGCCTTAATCTTTTTGGAGCAAACAATGCTGTTGTCTTTTCTGTCTCTTCATTTTCCTTCCTCTTCCTTTTAACCCCTACCAAGAGCTCTCCATACCAGGTCTCTCTCACGAGCTTGGGGGAGCCCATTCTAAATCATAGAATCTTTGATCTGAGTTGGAAGGGATCTTGAGATCATCTAGTTCCAACCCCTCTGCCATGGGCAGGGACACCTTCCACTAGGGAGTTAGCATATCACAGCTTTCTTGATTAGCCTCTGTTCTGCACTGAAGCCTCTCACTTGAAATGGCTGTATGCTATATTAATTAGGAACACATGGCCTTAACTTTCAGAATAAAATCTTGGCCTATTATTGCTTGTTGAACTTCAAGTCTCCAGTGGTGTTCTCTCCCTAGAAAAACAGTGTCTGAACACACACCTGAATTAGACTGGTATATGTGAAGATGAAAGCATAATCCTTTTAGACTGCTCCTCACATTGGCCAGTAGCTTGCTAAAGACCTGCATATTCTGCCCAATTACTGGGATTTTTTTATTCAGTTTAACTATAGTCTTTATAAACGATGATTTTGTTTTCTTCTGTTAAAATAAATTTGCTGTAATTAAACCACAGAAATGTAAAATATGTACTAATGCTAGATTTATAGTGATAATACATATTTAAAATATTTGCAGGTATTAAAAGAAGTTTCCTGAAAGCAAATAATGTTAGAATAATGGGAATGAGGATTAAAATGTTCAAAGAAGTTCAATCAAACTAAGCCCTTCAGCTGACAAGTACTAATGTAGCCTGTTCTATTCAGCCAAAGCACTGGGCTGTGGTTTGGTGAGCTGTGGGAAAATGCACTGCAAGCTTTGCAGAAGCTAGGTGTTCCTCCCTGCTTTGAAGGCTGGCCTGAATGTTCATCTCATATTTCTCTTTTTTCTTCATTGGAAGGGTATTCTTTGCACTCTTTTTCCTGTCTCCTTCACAAGTGTGACATTTTTGTGGTCTATGTTTTACTGCATAGGCTAAGCTATTGTCCATGCTATTCTGCAAACCTGTTTCAACTTGATCTGTGTGTCATTGTTCTCTCCAGAAGACTATTGCAAATTTTATGCATATGTGACAGCTTAACTTCTTGTCTGGAAGAAGCATTCTCTTTGACTAACATACCAGATTGACTCATCCTCTGCGCCTTTATGGATAACCAACTGACAACTTGTAGTTAATGGTCTCTCACACATGTTAAATGTTGGCTTCTTTCCCCAGGTTATTCTGTTGCTGTTCTCTCAACTCAGAGCTCTGTCTATTTTGTTGCTGGCGCTCCAAGATCCAACTACACTGGCAGAGTAGTGATTTATGATGTTGACAGTGATGGTAATATCGCAATTGTGCAGTCCCAGAGAGGCGAGCAGGCAAGTGTATTTTGGTCCTGAATGCAGATTTTGGCAGGCATCTGTTTTTATTGACACAGCAGTAAACTGCAGTTTGTTTTGAAAATTCCTCTTTCTTGCAATGCATTTAGAATCCACTTGAACTTTTCTCTGCTTCTAGACTATTTCAGTGAAGCTAACTGTAATTCTTAAACATTATTTTAGGAAGTCATCCAATTAGTGGTAAAAGATAATATACAAAGCTACTTAATGTCTTATCTGTCAACACTTCTAATTGGGAGAAATTCAATGAGCTCCACTCGGCCCAAGAAATTGTGAAGTAGATGACATCAAATGAGAGATTTAGAAACTCATTCTCTTTATCTCCATTTGGAAAATAGCAGTGATTTTAGATTATTTTGGTTTTGTCTGTTTGTAAGACAACCAGAAATCGGGTATTTTCCTGTGCACAGTTTAATATAAAAAAAAATATACTTCCCATAGCTTATTCTCTGTGTGCATTCTTATCGCTGAGTGGTAAAGACATAGCAGCAGCTACTGGGCAGAAACCGTGGACATGGTAAGGATATGGTTCTTCAAACACTGAAGTATGTTATATAGTAACTTCATTCCAATGGGCAGTTTCATTCATTATTATTGGACTATTTCTGAGTGTAAGTTTTCTGAGTCAGGTGTTAAACATTATGCTTTTCAAAATCTCTGACTACTGATTTCAGATTGGCTCCTACTTTGGCAGTGTGGTGTGTTCAGTGGATGTTAACAGGGATTCTGTGACAGATGTGTTGCTCGTGGGTGCACCAATGTTTATGAATGACCTGAAGAAAGAGGAAGGGAGAGTATACATGTTTTCCATCACAAAGGTAAAAATGGCACTGTAGCAAAGCTGGCATAAGCATCTTGCCTCTTAATCCATGATAAGTGCTGATAGTTTCATTTGCAGCTGGAGGGATTTACTGGTTTTCCCTGGACTACAGTTTTATCAAGGAAAAGCAGTCCAAATTGCATTAGCACTTAGTGGCAGTATCTGTTCTGTTAAATCAGAGCATGATTGGAAGAGTGAACCTTGGCCCCACAGTCATGTGGTGCAGAAGGCTTGCTCAAGCTGGCATGGCTTAGGGCTAGCTTCTTTCAAAGCAGACTGACCACATGCATGCTAAAAAGCCTTTAGTCTTGGATCTCTTCAGGGCCTAAGTCACTATTTAGCATATCTTTTTCAAAGCACTAGAAATACTGTGAGTGGTAGCTTTCTAACAAGAAAGGAGCATGTGTTTTTCCCAGGCTGTGGCACAAGGGCAGGGGTAAATTGTGCCAAGCCTGCCTGGTTAGAGGACTGTGGATGGATCCCTTCCAGTGTGATCTTGCCTATTCTGCTTTTCAGGAGCAGCTGCAGACTTCCCTCAGAACTGCTTGTGCACGTAATCTGGGAACAAACCAGCTGGCACAGACCAAAATGGAGTCAATAAAGCAAGTTAGCAGCTGAGCACTACTAGTGACCAGGGGCCTGCTGTCCTAGGTGGCTTCCTGGTCCTGATTTTAGGTGCTGTGCTAGGCACTGTACACAAACATAACACAAGGTTGACCATTTCTCTGAAAAACTTAGCTCAAGCCTTTTGCTAATTAATCGTTTTGCATTTTATTTTGGCAGATCTGTACAACACCTAATAGTATTCCCCAAACAGTTCTAATAAATGTTCTTCTGCCAGCTTTCTGTATTGTTTGTAGACTTTCACAGTGGATGATTGCTATTACTCATGTTGTCTCCTTTGTTCACTGTTATTGTCTGATGCTTGACTGTGTTTTTTATTCAGACCTGTAGTAAGTGTTTTCAGAATATATGTACTAATAGTCCTAAAGCCTCTGGCACTTTTGAACATTATTTCAAGCAATCATTGGATGTCTGGATATGCAAATTAAATTAATACCTGTCATCCATTAGAGAAAACAGAACGTGGTCTTTTTAACTAGGTAGAACATAATCAAACATACAGAGGGGAAGGACCATCCTCTTCAGCAGCATCTCACAGTCAGAGCCACAGGAAACTCTATACCCTAAAGCAATTTCAGGGTAGATGGAGGTGCTGGAAGTGGCACTGCTAGCAGTAGATGTGGAATTTGACTGTAGAATTAGACACAAAATAGGGAAGAAAGCTGAAAGGATTTTTTTCCATGTTTTGAAAACTGAATAAATGGAAAGACTATCCTTACACCTTTTAGTCTTTGTCAAACATAAGGTTTAAGATTATTTAAAAGTATAATAAAAAAAATACTTATTTTTAAGGAACCTGGTTTTGTGCAACTTGTCCACATTGCGCAAATAATAATTTTCTAGTCATTTTTCATAAATAACTTGGCCTGTATTTCTAAAATTTTAAGCACAGTATGATAACTGAGGTTAAAGATGAGAGTGCTACTTGCCAGAGAGCTGAATTTAAGCTAGCGTAAATGTGATTATTTAACTATAAAGATCTCCAATCTTTCTTTCTCTATTTGTACTGGAGAGGTCAGGAGTTTAGCATTTGGACACATGTTTTTTGCATTAGTTTAGTTAGGAAATTCCATTTGTGTTTCAAAGAATTATGTCCAGTTACATAATTTCCATTCCCTCTGCATAAAAACTGGTAATCCAAAACTGGAAACTGTATTTTTCAATGTATTGTGAAACTTTCAGAACAGTCAGATGAGGACAGTGAGAGCATTTAAGCTTCATGCATATGGTTATATTTGCTGTTAGTTAGTGCTTTGCATAGCATGCTTTGATTTTGCTGTGTAATGCTTGCCAAGACTCTGGGACATAATGCAAACTGAATGGGCAATACAATGGGGAAGGAATTCAGGGTTGAGCAGTCCAGGGGGAATGTACTGGAAAACAGAAACAAGAAACAATGCACAAAGATACTGCTCCTTTGTCTAATCTGGTGCAATGATAGCAGTGTTTTTGCTGTTTCTTCTTTTTCCTTTTTTAAAGGGAATTTTGGATCAACAAGAACTCTTGGAAGGTCCACAGGGGTCAGAAAATGCTCGCTTTGGATCAGCAATCACAACACTTGCAGATATTGATTTGGATGGCTTTAATGATATTGTAATAGGAGCACCACTGGAAAACCAAAACTCTGGAGCAATTTACATTTACAATGGATTTCAAAAGACTATACGTACCAAATATTCTCAGGTAAATAACTTTGTTGCATAATGTTGTACTCTGTGCCTTTAGATCTGCTAGAGGCAAACAGAAGGATTTTCTATTAATTGGCTATTGTTTCATCCTCTTAAAGGACTAGTGTTACTTTCATGGTTTATTTCAAGTTTTGTGCCTCAGCACGTTCTGGTTGATGTTGTGGTGCTTATAACTGAAGCATATAGAGGAAAAGGACCTGCAAGCTGCTCCATCTGAGCCTCTTACCATTTTTGATGCCTGTGTATGAAGTAACCTAATTTCCAGTACAGTTTCAGACATCCATTATTCAGGCTTTTAGGGTTGATGTACAGCAATGGAGATTAAGTAAATCCCAGCTCTGTAAATTATAAATATGTAATATTAAATGAAAATACTTTCAAGGGTCTTTGCATATTCTATATACTGATATAATGGCAATTTTAATGTCACTTTCCATGCAGACTTTCCGGTTTCAGAAAGCATTTGTTAGAAGTCCTGTTAAGCTTCCTATTCCTTGAGTTGCTCAATGTAAGGTGAAAAAGCTTCCAGTAAGTATTAGCTGACATACAGCAGTCAGTTAGTTGATCTATTCCCAAGACAGAAAAATCTAGTCCATTGTCTGCTCCAACAGGGGAGGAAAAAGTGCTTAAAAGCATTGGAGAAAACATCCACGAAGCACTTTGTTTAAACAATGTGTTGTATATCCAGGGAGTATGAGTGAAAATCTATTGCTTAGGCTGCTATCTACAGACTTAAGCATGCTTGTGGCTAACTCAGTAACCAAACTTTCTTTTCCAGAAAATTTTGGGATCGGACTCTGCTTTTGGACAACGACTCCAATTCTTTGGAAGATCAGTAGATGGCCATAGAGACTTAGATGACAATGACATTACTGACTTATCAGTTGGTGCTGATGGAAATGTGATTCTGCTATGGTTGGTAAACTCTTTTAGAATGGAGGGCTTAATGATTCAGATGCAAGTTGAGTATTTAGTTAATTAAACCGCAAAACAAACAAAAAGCTCTTTCATTCCATGTGTTCAGAGCTAACACACTGCCTCATCACTGCTATCGTAGCTAGCCGAAAAACACCATTAGACTAAACCTCTTTTAATCATGTATCATCAAACCACTGAAAGGCAAGGCAGCATGTGGGGGAAGAGCTAGGGCATTCAGGGAAAGCCAGGTGGCAGGGACTGCCAGGAGTGTCCTGGGCCCAGATGAGGAGGGCCAGGAGACACCCCTACCTGCTGCTGCTGCTGTGCAGACACATTGTCCATAGGGAAGGGGCAGCAGCAGGGAATGGGGCTTGCTTTGTGCATCCATTTTGTGGGTAAGGAACTGGCCATATGGTCATACTCAAAGAGTTGTGGTCAATGGCTCAGTGTCCAACTGGAGACCAGTAATGAGTGGTGTCCCTCAGGAGTCAGTGTTGGGACCAATCGTGTTCAACATCTTTGTCAGGAACATGGACACTGGGATTGATACACCCTCAGCAAGTCCATCGATGACATTAAGGTGCGGGTGACACACCACAAAGGATGCCATCCAGAGGGACCTTAACAGGCCCAAGATGTGGGCCAGTGCCAACCTCGTGAAGTTCAGTAAGGCCAAGTGCAAGGTCCTGCACAAATACAGGCTGGTCAGAGAATGGATTGAGAGCAGTCCTGAGGAGAAGGACTTCGTGTTGGTTGATGAAAAGCTGAACATGAGCTGGCAATGTGCGCTCAGAGCCCAGAAAGCCAACCATATGTTGGGCTGTATCAAAAGGAACTTGCACAGCAGGTTGAAGGAGGTGATCCTGCCCCTCTACTCTGCTCTCGTGAGACCTGCCTGCAGTCCTGCATCCAGCTCTGGGGCCTCTGACACAAGAGGAACCTCGTGGACTAGGAGCAATGTGGACCTGTTGGAGTGAGTCAAGGGAGGGCCACAAAGATGACCAGAGAAGGCTGGAGTACGTCTCCTAGGAAGACCAGCTGAGGGAGTTGGGCTTTTTCAGGCTGGAGAAGAGAAGGCTCTGGGGATACCCTAAAGCAGCTTCCAGTGCCTAGAAGGGGGCCTACAAGGAATCTGGAGAGGGACTTCTTACAAGGACATACAGTGCCAGGACAAGGGGGAATGGCTTTAAACTGGGAGAGAATAGATTTACATTAGATATTAGGAAGAAATTATTTCCCGTGAGGGTGCTGAGGTGCTGGCACAGGGTGCCCAGAGAAGCTGCGGCTGCCCCATCCCTGGCAGTGTTCAAGGCCAGGGTGGACAGACCCTTGAGCAACCTGGTCTAGTGGAAGGTGTCTCTGCCCATGGCAGGAGGGGTGGGACTAGATGATCTTGAAGGTCCATTCCAATCCAAACCATGCTGTGATTCCCTGTAACAGCAGGTTGTACTTCAGTAGCCATAGTGGTTTTTATAGCTGAGCCTGAGATAGGTGATACCACTTTCCAAACAACCTGCATGACGTTTACTGGCTGGCAGGCTGATCTGGGGAAGAGAGTTATCCTGCAGGGTAAGGACAGAAAGCAGTGAAATAGTTGGCACTTATTTCTGGCAAGAAGCCCATCTTTTCTGGCATGTGGACCTTGCCAGAGCAATCTGAGTACTTTCACAAAATAATGACAGGCTTCACAGAACCCAAATCTCATGCCTCCCGAAGTACTGTGTATTTTCCACTACTTGCTTGAGGAGCTAAATTAAAATGTAGCCTGCTTTCGTATGTCACTTGTCTTTTCACCTGAGGCTCCCCACTGTAAGAAGGAAAACATCACTGAATTGCTACTTATTTCATAATGAAAGAAGATTATTAAATATGAATGGTCAGTTTGGACCTTTGACCCACAATAAGGTGCTGCTGGTGGGAATTTCATTAAATAAAATGATGCTCCTTGGAGTACCAGCTTTTTTCTTTAGATCTGATTAATGAAGATGCTCATTTTTCTTTCACTCTAGCATTTGGTCTGATTAATGCATTTTGCTTTTGATTAAAGTGTTTTTTACATGCAGGGTTCCTTTGAAACTGTTTTTCAAAATCTTGATTACTTACATGAAAAATAGTTTTTCTGAAACATAAGATTATTGATTAATATGAAGAATTACCCTATCACCCTGCTTTACACTCCCAGAGGAGGTCAGTAAGTTCCCTAGAGGAGCAGAAGAAGCTTGCTTATTGGGAAAACAGGACAAGAGCTCTGTTATCTTGAGGGAAGGATTAGAACCTTAGGATAAACACATTGATTATCCATTAATTTGACATCATAAAGTATTTATTGTAATTACTGAAAGCTATTTTATTTTTAAAAAATCATTTATATGTAAAGAAAAATAATTTTACCAGTGCCATTAAAAAATGTTTACATTAGCAACCAAAAAATCAATGTTTACAGATAGTAATAGCCAACAGCTTCTACATTACCCAGTGCTCTTGGAAATGACATGCAACCTTTTAAAAATATATTTCAGGTCACGAAGCATTGCAAATGTGTCCATAATTGCATCATTTAAACCTGAGAAAATCAGTCTCCTGAACAAGAACACAGAAATAACTGTCGAAATATGTTTTCAGGCTACATTTAGACCTGCTAAGAGAAATAATCAAGTGGGTAAGAGTATTTCAATGACTCATCTTATTTTTTCAAAAGTCCATTATTCAAATGAGTAGTGGAAATTCTAAAGATATATTTTAATGTCATGAAAGGCAAAATCAGTATCAAACTTAAATGCTAGAGAAAGTGTTTTTAAGACCTACTTTCATCACTGGCTTCATAATCTTTGAAAAGTGAGGAATTAGCAGTATAAAGTAGAGCTTTATCCTTCTGTTCAGCAAACCCCAGAGCAGGCCATTAGTGAGAAGCTGATTTATTTTCAACCTGCAGACTTTTCCTCTCTCTTTGGTAAAAGGAAAAAAAAGTAAAACATCCATAGGCTCAGTGCAGATGTCAGTGGGGAGAAGCTCTTCTTTTCAGAGGACAGGAGAGCACCAAATATTTCTGAGACCAACACTGGCCTCTTACGAAGCTATCTAGTGAAATGTCATGGATAACACCAGTTGGACTACTTTGGTGCTATGTATAGTACCTTTAGGAACTTATGATTTGAACTATAAAATAACAGTGAACTTCCACAGCATATTACTCATAATATGAGCAGAAGAAGACAGAAATTATTATGTGATTGAAGAGAAGATGCAGTTTCTTTACAGTCTCCTCAGAGTTCAGGGATATTGTTGCAAGTCCCCTTTATCTAGCATAATCCTGGCCCTGCTGACTGGCTTCTTGCCTGAGCTGCAGACTCAGACATCTGCACTGGCGACTGGATTGATTGCCATTTAATATGCTCTCTGTGGATGAGAAGTTACGTCAGGATTTAAACCTGTTTGACTGCTTTGGAAAGCACAAGAGAATTGTTTGTTTGTTTGTTGTGGTTTTTTTTTGTTTGGTTGGTTGGTTGTTCTTTTCTTTTTTCATTTTGAGACTAGTCTGTGTGTAGCAAGCTCTGAAAAAAGTAAAATATTTAGTGTGGTTTGGAAAGCCTCGTCACTCTGTAGCGTTAAGTGTAGTAATGAGATCACAGGCAGTCGTACTCAGCAAAGAATGTACTGTTGTTCTTCTTGTAGCTATAAAGTACAATGCAACACTGGATGCAGATCTCCAGTCCTCTAGAGTGTCTTCTAGAGGATTGTTCAAAGAAAATAATGAAAGGTACATGCAGAGGGATCTTGTGGTACGTCATGAGACTTGTGTTCATGACATCTTCAATGTACAGGTAAGTGCAATTGTGACAAAGAATGATAGGAGGAAGATGATGATGAATTTTTTGTCTGTAAGATGAATTTCGTGTGTGGTGTACTCAATGATTTACATTTCTGAAATCCCCCACAACTAAAAAATACTTAGTAAGATTTTTGATTTCAAAGAAATTAGTAACTGTCAAATTCAGCACAGCTTCTTAGGATAGAAGAGGCAGTACTTAATTGTGTAGTTCAGCTCTGACATAACACAGAGCCCATCATCCATATTTCAATAGATTTTACTTTCCCTCTGAGTGAATTCTTCTGTAAGAACTAAGACATACATGCAAATGTTTTCTCTCAAGCTAACAACTTTTCAAGCAGACTTCTGGTGAATGCTAGCCTCAGGCATGTATCTAGGAAAAAAATACAAATAAGCAAGTCTCCATCTTTCTCTAGACCCAAAGACTGAACACAGCCCTGAAAGTTGCTTTAAGCCCCCTGCATAATGCTAGGTCCAGCAAAGGACTTCGATTCCTGCTTTTCTTTGCAATGCAAATATCTTCGACTTAATCACATTTAGTGCTGTTGTGGAGCCACGAGCCGTAGGGCTAGACAAGTATTCATCCAGTACTAAGATGCAGAGGAGACAAGGTATATTGTGTTTTAGTGTTGCTCAGGCCCAGCTGCAATCTGTCGTAAGGCAGAATGGAACAGGAATTTGACTTCTGCAGCTAGGTGAGAATGGAAGTCCCCTGGTGGTGGCTTTTGAGGACCAGCTTCTGCAGCTGCAGAGAATCTTCATGTTCCTTAGTTCTAGACATGACTGTGATGAATAGAGCTTCCAGGGATGATCCTAGAAAAATGAATTCTATCATGGAAGTGGCACTGAAAGCAGTTTAGCAAGACGAGCCTATGTTAGGCAATCTCAAAAAATAATTTCATCAAGACACTAAGCTTTGTATTGTTACTTCTTGTTTAGAGCAAATATGATCTTACTGTGCATTCTCAATTTAGAGTAAAATTACCAATTTTACCCTGTTTACAGTGCTGACAGCTGTCATTTGAAACATGTTTTACAGGAACCTTCTGATGCAGTGAATTCACTTAGTTTGCGCATTGACATTGGCCTTGCAGATCCTGGGTCCAGCCCTGTCCTTGACATATACTCTCCTGCATCTGTGGCCTGTAGTGTAAGTATGCGATGTTACTATCAAAGAATGCATGGCTAGACACGTCAATAATGTGTGGGCCCCACAAACATCCAAGAGGTACATGCAAGTGAAAACCGGTGTTCTAATTTAGTCACTGGTCTGACAACAGGCACCTGAGGGTGTTCCCTGGTTCATTTTATACCTTTGTGTGTATTGTTTGAGCTTGCTTACACACACATCAGCCACCATGGCTAATCAGCCACGAGCATGTTGGCTGAGCTACATCACTCTTGATGTGAACTTCTAGTTGATGGCAAAGGTGAACTATTTTAGGTTAGTGTATCCTACAATAAAAGAATACATAAAAGAGGGATGGAACCTCTTTGATTACATCATGTTTGTCATGGGTTAACTGTTTTTATGGATTGATTGAGATATAATATGTTAATGTTAACTTGTTCATGTCAGTTTTAATGGCTTTCAGAGGGATTTCCTTATCTGCAAACCAAGAACGTGCTTCACCTCAAAAGTGTTTGCACTCTATTATCTGTAGATAATTTTGAGAGTTGAACCCTGTCACTCAGGAAATTTTCTGGTTTTCATAGATTCCTTTTGTTAAAGACTGTGGCGAAGATGAACTTTGTGTCTGTGATCTTGTTCTGAATGTTCAGCGGAAGGCAGATGATGGGTAAGAGCTGAACGAGTGGAATTGTGTTAGGTGTTTTCATCAGCTGGTTTTCTTGTAGGCTTTGGATGAATTTGTGGATGAGAATGTCTTTCTAGTTCAAGATCTACTTAGAAATAGCAGGCATAATAAAGTATTTCTGTCTGAATATCTAATCAAGGAAAAAGAGGTATGGTAGGAACACAGATACAGGAGTAGGATCCTTGTCAGCTTAGACAAACCCAAGTTTTGCTGCCTTAGGTGTGAGGACACAGTGAGCATTCAGAAGAATCATGACTGGCTGGCTGGCTGCTGCTGGGAAGGGGAGCACACTGGGAGAGCAGCAGCAACTGCCGCAGGCATCTTGGTCCCTCCAGTGGGGAGCAGAGAGGATCCTACAGCAGGCTGTGCCACTGGGGAGCTGAGGTCAGCTATTCAGTTAGCACATATTCCAAGTCCATATGCAGATACATGTGTACATGTGCAGCATGCAGAAAGACAGGGCTGCTTTTCCGTGGAGCAGCCATCCCAGTCTGACACCCGCTCTCTAGCCACTTTCCCATGAGGGTAGAGCCTTTGAAAATTCAGCAAAGTGATTTTGACCATACATAATCAAGGTCCTGCACTTTGAGAAGACATGAATTCCATTTGGTTTTAAGAAACACCATCACATATTTTCTTATGTCAACGAGTTTAGAAAGCAGAGTGTTTAAGTGCGTAGAATGGAGGAAATGTCCTGCTGTGCTTGTTATTTGTTGTTGGCTACAGGCAACACGTTTTCATGATCCACAGCTGTTCTAGTATCTCTGTTTACAACAATGGACTTTATTTTCCAACAGCAAACAGCAGTTTGTTGTCAGCAGCAAAAACAGAAGGCTAACATTCAGTGTGAAATTGAGAAATAAAAAGGAAAATGCATATAACACCAGAATCCAGGCTACATTTTCAGACAACTTGTTTTTTGCTTCATCGTCTTTACCGGTACGTGATACCCAACCTCACTGTTTCTGTTATTGCCACTAATTTTTGAGGTTCTCAGAGAATTATTTCTTTTTTCTTTCTAGTAGTGCCTATGCAAGGAAAGAATGTGTGTGCAAACCTCTTTCCCAATTTATTTTCTTGGATACCAGCATTATTCCCTTCGGCATATCAGTTTATTTAGGTCAAGGAGAGACACTGCCAACTTAGCATGAAAGTTGGCAACCTGTCGAGTTTGACCTCACCTCAGTATTTCAGTCATCTTTTCCTCACTTCAGGCCTTGGCACCCACATCTTCTGCTTGACTCCCAGCAACAGGCCTGAATGCAGTTGCTGTGCCACAGGGAATTTGTATTTGATAAATCAAGCATTCAGCATCGATGATGCAGCCTTAAAGCACAGACTTTGGATCTACAAATAGTGTTACTGCCAAGGCCACGTGTTCCAGCCATACAGTTAATCATATTGAAATGATTGCTGTACCAGAAGCTCTTCTTCTAATGAATTTTATCTTACAAAAGGGAAAAGGCAGGCATTATACATACTATTTTGGGGAATGCAGTAAATCTATAATCTCAACTGTTGCTTCCAAACAATTAATGAAGGATGAAGTCTGGACTTCAGTCCTTGGTTTATGTGGTCAGGCCACTATTGGAGCAGTGCATGATAATCCTAGGGGTGAAATCCAGAGCTATCCCTATACTGAAGGGAGAGGAGGGATAGGAACATTCATCACTGCCCCAGAGCAGCATTTTCCTGAACAATGAACTGGCAGAAGTAATCCATGCAGCACTGAGGGTGCCCCTCTACCTCCCCATCCTGTTATGCAGCAACATTGCTTGTTCCACTCATGCCAAGAGACCACACTGGAGCTAGGATTTTCTTTTGCTTTAAAATCACATTTGTTTAGAAGTATTTCAGCCTGCAAGTGAGGACCAAAAATGTGACTGCTTCAAAGCAGGAAGAAAAGCATAAACTGAGAATGTATGGGTGGGCTTTGGGTTTGTTGGTTTTGGGGTTTTTTTTGGTTTGGGTTTTTTTTTTCTTGTTGGTGTTTCGTAGTGTAATTCATGCATGGTAAATGTCTGCTAGGGATGCTTGTAACAAAAGACAGTATATAGAATGAATTCTTTTTAAAGTGATGATAACTGGACAGGTCTACAAGTTCGTCTTTGATGTAGGATGATGATATGCTAAACATTTTGCAAAGTAGGAAATAAACTCTTATGTATTGCAGATTTCCCTGCAAAAGGTATGATAGGGTCCCCCTCTGTACACTAACTTCTACAGTGAGAGTACTTAACTAGCCCTCAGTTCAGGTAAATATATCTGCAAAAATTCTGTAAAAATGCTGTAAAAAACACTGTAGGAGTTAATGCTAGAGGTGACTTGTACTCCCTAGCCAGTACTCCTCCTTCCAAGCCCAGCACAAAATTCTAATAGCTCACAAGAAACCACATGGGACTGGCTCCACCTTTCTCTGGCCACTCTCCTAGCACTGCCTATGCCCAACCCATCTGCTGCATCTCTAGGAATTACTGCCATAACACCTATTCGTATTGCTGCTACTTAGCGTAATATGTGTCCTGTTGAAAATACAGACTGGGTACTCCCTCTCTACTTTATCAAAACCTGATACTAAGATGACTTTTCTGCCTGTTTCCTCTGCAGAATGATGGAACTGAAGTCTCGTGTCAGACAGGACCAGCACAAAGTACAGTCATTTGCCAAATAAGCTATCCTGTTTTCAGAACAGGACAACAGGTACAGCTAGCATGTTTAAATAACCTTGAATGATACCGAAAGCTTTTTTGCTGTTATTTGCCCCTAAATCTGCATTTACTGCTGGTGAGGCTTTCTTAGATATGGCAAGAGTTAACTTCCCTTTGGGTTTCAGAGGCATTAAAAGAAGCAAATTAAGGGCTAAGATTTTGTGACTGCCTGCCAGACCAAAGAAAAAAGCACTCTTGCAGCACATTTGTCCCTGCCCACAGCTTTCAAATGCTATTGTAGCTTTGTAACTCTTGAAAGGTGAGGGTTGAGGGCAGAAACAGAGAGCACCATGCGTAGCTGCCTGATCAGAGTTCGCATCAAACCCCTCCTGTTGCACAAACCTGGGGTCACTCTTTCAGCTCTGTGAATCTCATCTCTCCAAGACAGCAGGATGCTTTGAGAGGAGATGGGTGGATCACACAGCAGAGAATTCAGATACAGATGTTGTGCTTACAAATAATTATGTTGCTATTGGGAAGTGCTTTGGATATTGTCGTATCAACTCATTTACTGTGTGTTCCTCGTCTCTTCCATAGGTATCCTTTGATATTAGTTTTGATTTTAACCTGAAAAATCTTCAGAATGTGGCAGTTCTAAGTTTTCATGCATTGAGGTAAAGTATGTAATCTTATCAAAGCAAGTTAGGTATTAACATCTTTTTTGTATAAAATAATATTATAAATCCTGGCTTTAAATGTGTTTTGATGAACAGTGAAAGTAAGGAAGAGCAAGAATTGGACAACCAGATCAGCTTATCAATTCCTTTGCGATATGATGCAGAAATTCACTTCACAAGGTATGCTAAATAATGTAGAATCACTGTCATTTTTGCTAAGGCATTTGAATAAAGTAACAGTATTGAAAGGCCACTAAAAAGATAGTAAAACTTTGTTTTAATTTTGAAATTCATAAGCAATTCCCACTTTATCAACAGTAGCAGAAAAAAATGAAAAAAATGCCCCAGGATTAAAAAAAAAAAATAGTCCTTGAAACCTCTTATCTTCAGCCCTGGAAATGCCTGCTGACTTGGGATGCACTGAAATAGTACTTAGCCTGTAACTATTCCAAACAAGAATGATTTCAGTTACAGTTAAATCAAAACTGAAACAAAAAATATACTGGTTTGACTCTCAGATAAAGACAGAATATTTTACTTTTCATCAAAGAAAAGATGTGTTTATCTTTTCCAGTTACTGAATTTTTAGGATAAACTACCCATAGTTACATTTGATGCACTTGGTCACCAATTCTTGGTGGAAAAAATGCTTCTGCATTCCAAAATTTGTAACCATAAACTGAGAGAAAATAAATAGTATTCAAAGAATGACAGAATTGAAAAAGAGAAAGCTGCTCAAAAATGCACAGCAACAATAAATTCAGGAAATTAATATTCAGAGAGTGCCATAACTACAAGAACTGTTGGCTGCATAGGATGACCTGAGCTGGAAAAGGGACCATAGTATAGAAGATTAGTTTAATAACCTGCTTTGCAGCAGCAGTTTCAGAATATTCAAGGCCTGGCATTCATCATGGCTAGGTGCGTCAATTCTGGAGTCATGCAGAACTTCTCAGATTATTTTAATTGCAGAGAAGCATTTGTGTCAGCAATGCAAATTATTTCAGGTCCCTAAGAAAGTTGCACAAAACTTCAGGAGAAGCAGAGTGTTTGTTACTGAAATTAGCAGCAGCACATGAGACTACAGGATCATCTGTTTAGGGGGCTAGCACAGCAACTTAAGTAGCCTCCTAGGAAACTGAGGTGGTGCAAACTTGAATCAGCAGATTTAATTTGCTGAGAAATAGGACAGAAACTCAATGCTTCAGAAAAAGCAGGCATGGAGTTTATAAAAGAGTTATTCAAAGAAAAACAGAGGTTTGAATTCAGGTGCATCTCCCGAGTAGAAGAAAATGCATTTTCATATGCAAGTCAAGGCATGAAGGAATTCTTACTGCCAGAAAAGGACTGTTATTTTTGGAGTTGAACCAACTTAGAAGAACTAAAGGAAATACACATTAACCCAAGGTACAATCTTAAATGCTTCCCTTGGAGTTAGCTTATTCTTACACTCTCCCACTAGGAAATACCTATCTGTAGATAGTTCCTTCTTAAGGCAGATTTTGTAGCCAAGGAGCAATCTCTTAAAATACATGCATTGAGAAAAAAGTGTTGTCTTGCTGAAGTGAAGCTCTTCTAGGGAAAATCTCTTAATCTGAGTTTCCAGGAGAAGAGGTGGGAATCAGTCTTACCAGTGACTCCTGCAAGGACAAGGAAGCTGATACTGTGCAGTCCTGGAAGGACTGAAGATTTGAGCAATAAGGAAGCAGAAAATGCATCATGCAGGTTTTGCTAGGAGTCCTTGTGTGAGGCCTTTCAAGGAAAGGACCCCTTGGAGGAAGTATGGAGGATCAAAAAGGATCCACCATGCAGTATGGAGGAGCACAACAGATAGGGAAGCACTTCTGAGACTGCACACATGTTAATTTGGGATTGTATGCACAGATGTTACCCAGGTTAAACAAGGAGAGCAGCACTGGTAAACAGGATGGATTTGTACCCTGTGCTACAGGAAAAGCTCATATGAGAATGATGATAGCCCCTGCTCCCTATTAACTCACTCCCCAACTTGCTTTTTGACTGATCATATTAGCCTCCTAATGAAATCTATGATGAAGAGCTGGCACAGTTCTGGGATGGTTCAGTGGAAGAGCTGCTCACAGGTAGCAAGCACATGGGTCAGATGCACTACACAGGGATGCTTTCATTGTCTTTGAGCGTGTTGCCAGCTGGCTGAGTCCCTCAAGCATCCACAGGCCCTCACACACTTGCAATTTCATGCTGTTGTGGGCTTCAACCACTCTCGTGTTACTTTGGAAATTGTGAATTTTGAAACCCATAAATACTAAAGAAAGTGGCCCAGAGGAGACCAAGGGCTATGCAATGTGTACCATGCACACAAGCAGGGTGCGTGTCCACATCCAGGCAGTGTGGAAACAAGCCTGCCTGTGGTCTATGGCATTAGAGCCCAGGATCTCCCTCAGAATCTGTAGGTATTTGCTGTTACAGATGTACCCAGGGGGACAGTCAGGGGCCTCCTTCTGAGGGAGACTACTGCAAGGGTGAAAGTCAGTGTGTGCCAGGGTTTGGAGTGCGGCACTGAAAACAGTACAGGATGCAGGAAGCAGACCCTGCGTCTCACACAAACTTCCTGTCTTACCTTCCCATGCTTCCTGCAGCTCTAGGCTTCAGTATACCGTGTAATTTCTCAACAAACTTTGTAAAATTCAGACAGCAGTACAAGTGGCTGATTTTTCCTCTGACTGTACTTCTGACCTGTTTCATGAAGGCACATCCAGTAACATATGTTTTCAAAGCAGCTGCCAAATTGAAATGTATTGTTTTATGGTTGTTAACTAGGCTTGCCAACATCAACTTTTATGAAGTATACTCTGGTCATAACATTCCTTCCACTGTGAATAATTTTGAAGATATTGGCCCCATGTTCAACTTCTCTGTAAAGGTTAGTAAATGTTTCTGGTTCAAGAAGCTGCCTTACCTCCTCCTGTAGCATGCTCCGAACATGTAACTGAATATAATTGAAAAACCTTTCCTGATTTCATTGCTCGATTTTGATGTTTCTGAATCAGTTATTATATTAATTACAATATATATTAATATATTAAATTATAAATAGTTGGGAGATAAATGCTTACAGTCTTTGTGAGGTTAAGGATGAAATTTGCACTTACTGCACAAGTAGAATGGAGGAGGGATTGGTTCTGCACTGTTTACATACTTAGGAGATGGTTAATGCTTAACTTTAAGCCAAATTAGACTGTTTTTTTCACTGAGCATATTTGTCTTCTGCCAGCTTGATAAACAAAAGCAAGTCTTTTCACATTTGGACTTTGAAACTTGAAGTTTAGTAAGGGTTAAGTGCTCAAACCAGATACAGGAACTAGCCAGATCACAGCTTTTATTACACAGGTCAGAAAAACTTAGATCCAAATACGCCACGTGGAAGAAACTTAAATTATGTTCCATTTACATTCCTGTAACTGCTACTCTAAAGGACTGAGTAACAGATCTGTTGGCTATGGCAGAGTATTTGCTTTTCAAAACATATTTCATGCCATTAATACAAACTTTGTATTAAGGAAATGGTCAGGGACCTGAAGCTATACAATACACTTTCTGCTTTACCGTTGATATAATAATGTTGATATAATTACCCTAGTAAGTACAAAAAACATTGATGCAAAAGAAGTCCAGTTCTTCCATACTCATCCATGATTTCTGATTTTCTTGCTATATCAAGTAATATATGCATATGCAAGCATAGCTACCTGAATTAACTGTGAGTTATTTGCAGGTAACAACAGGAAGTATCCCAGTAAAGATGGCGTCTGTAAATATCTATCTTCCAGAATTCACCAGCAAAGACAATCCACTGATGTACATAACTGCAGTCACCACTGATGAAGTAAAGAAATTTATTACATTAACTGCTGTGTTTTGGGGTTTAATCAGTACGATGAACATCAATTACTTCCCTCATGGTGTGGCTGAGATTCAGAAAATCTTTGCTGTTTCTCTTTGTTCCTTCCTCATAAAGAGAAGCCGGAGGACCACAATGTCAGCAGTATTCTAGTCTATTACTTGTCTTGTCTTTACAGTCCACAGCTGACTTTTCATTTTACTCTGCAACTCTTCAGCTAAGTCCTTCTCCAAATTCCTGGGAAGGTTATAGTAAAAATGGAATTTTTAGATTGAGACAAACCCTACAGGTCTATCTAGGGGGCGAGAAAAACTTACCGTAAGAGCCATTTAATTCTGTCCAAACCCACGTACAGTCTCTTAGTTTCCTTAAGTATCCAGTGTTATATAATTCATAATCTGTCCTTTCACAGCTACCATCTCATTCCACAAGTATGTATGATGACTACAAACTCCTGAGTATGATGTCATCCAGTTTAACTCCTGATGTCTTTCCTAGGCCAGAGGTGTTACTTGTCAAGCTCAGAAAAATCCACTGCAGATAGGGAAAAGACCTTATTCTGCATCCTTCATCAAAGAGAACTTCAGAGCTTCCAAAGAACTGGTGAGTAAGACTAAGGACTGCAGTACCACAGGTCAGGGGCACAGAGCTGATCCTTACGAGCCTGCTGCTGTACCTGTGGGTACAGCTGTGGTGGGGGGTGGCCTTCTTCATTCACACTGCAGGAGTGCAGCCTATGGATGCTCTCACGCATACTGCATCTGCCTCAGATAGAAGAGAAGGTGCATGTTCTTCACATGCAAGCACTTTGTACGCAGCACAGAATGTCAAAGGCAAGTGCAAAACATGTTAAAAGAACAGTTGTTAAAGTGTATTTTTAATGCATGCTCTCCTTGCTGTTTCTCCTGGAAGAACTGTAAGAATGTGAAGTGCAGTACCATCACATGCAAACTGGAAGACATTATACTGAAGGGAGAGTACTTTGTGAATGTGTCCACCCGAATCTGGAATGGAACATTTGCTGCTGTAAGTATTAGCTGCATCTTCATGAAGGATCCAATACTCAGATATTTCCTAACACCTGGTATTTCTCAAAGTTCAATAAAGAGACCTTCCGATCTAGAAAGACCCTCCTTTACTTTACTTGTTGTGTGTGTTTTTCCAGACCGAAGACTTGAATCTTAAAGTAAAGTAAGTATTGAGGCTGCATAATGGAGCTGTTAACCTTCAGTCCAGCACAAAACCTAAGAAAATACTGTGAGAGTGCAATCTAACAGCTGAAAAAAACATTCTCTGCATCTGTTGAATTCATTCAAGTTTCCACAAAACTCAACATAGGACAGCAGATTACAGTATCATCATAATCTGGAAAATAATGTTGCTTTTAGCTTTTGAACATCACAGGCTACATAGTGATCATTTTAAGTCACATCAAAGCCTACAGGATGCTTAAAAATATCCATCAATAATCTTGACTTTCCCAATCCAAGTCACTGTGTGTCCTCCAGGATATAACTCATCATGAATTACCAGACTTTTGAAATGAGACCATGTTTGCTTCTTAGCTAGGCAACCAACCAAACTGTCTTGGAGTTCTGGGTTTGCCTAAAGTAAAGCATCAGGAACATGACGCAGTCTCCTTAGTTTGTCTGGCGAGTCTTATGGCAGGTATTGACATTTAACAGCAGGGCTGTTGTCAGCTTTAGCATTCAGCTCTTAAAAGGAAAAGGTCAGATTGATAATGTAATATACTTATGCAAGATGCGAAGGAAAGCATCTGTCTGTCTTTAAAATTCATAGTTTACAAATTAGCTGGGTCAAGACCACCTGTTAGTGCTGTCAGGTACATGGAAGGTGGAGACCTGAACAAAAGGTTGCTAACCTCACAAGAAAGTGAGTGGAAACTGTTTACCACTGGGAGATTGGAAGAGAACATCATGACAGTTTTCCTCTCATCTCACATTTTATTTCAATTTGATTGTCAATATTCATTGCAAATAATAACGCAAGCACTCTAAAATGCATGTCATCATCCTTTTTATTTAGTGTTAATTTGTTGTTGTCCAAGAAGGGGATAGCAGGCTTTCTGGTACCAGCTAAGCAAAGCAGAGAAAGATGTGTATAGGAATTAATGAGGTGCTTTGAATAGTGCTTGGGCAGGTTTCTAAACATTTAGGAGTGCAGAACAGACCACTTGGGCAGATGGCCACAGCACAGGATGATCTATTCAGTCAGTGTGCATTGGCTGCTGCAGACCCACTGTTGTGCACATCCTCTGTGTCAAGCCCACTGTACCTAGCCCTGCCACAGAGAAATGGCTGAGGAAGAAAAATGACTGAGCAGGCACTGCATTTGGTATGGCTGGTGAGTGCTCCTATGCTCATATAAACCTGAGGCCATTCCTGTTGGAGGTGTAGGAAATGGGGTTCTCCATGCCTGCCACATGGAGAGAAGAGCATCACTGAGCTGGCAGTGTCTGCACAGCTGTGCTTCTCCCCTCTTGACACATGCACAGAGGGCAGTGGGATCTGGCACAAGGTCCCTTTTCAAATGGGAATAAGATGGTTTAAGATTTTTGTCATCATCATTGTTTACGCTGAGGGAGTGATGTCAGAATTTGAGCAGGAGAGAGGAACAGATAGTGATAGGAAAAAATAAATGGGGAAAAACAGAAGCATTGGATGGGCAAGGGGAGGGGGAGGGAAAGAACATTCAGTTTCCATTTCTTTCAAAGGCCAGAGATACATCCCCATCTGTCTTTTGCTGCTGAGCTTTCTCCCTTTCTCACTTATTTCACCCCCCATCTCTTCTGTGCTAGCAGCAGTGACAGCTTTGAAATAACTATGAAAATGGATATAGAATCAACTCCTCCTGTTTTGCTTGAACTATATGTTAGAAAAGAAAAGCCAGTTACCTAGTTTCATTGCTAATAAGTAGGAACAGCAAAATTAAGCCTGGATTACTGATGCTCTATTACTTTCATTGAAATGTTAGGCTGGGACCAAGAAAAAGACCATTTTAATTTTCTTAATATTGTGATTTTTTTTTCCTGATTCTGAAGTCTTCATGTGAAACCTAGAGAATTACTTTAGGATGTCTACATTCTAATCGATTTGCCCTGTAATACAGCTTTACAGTTTTTTTAATCTTCTCTTTCAGTTAACTTTCCAGACATTACAACTCTCTGCAGAGGCAAAAATCAATACACATAACCCTGACTTATTTGTAATTGGAGAGAATACTCTAACTGTAAGTGATAGATAAGTATATTTTTTCAACTTCTCTATATATTTACTGGTTTAAAGTGATAATACTTATTTTCAGTGTCCTTTAGGAGTACATGGCAAATTGCAGACTCTGATGACATTTGATTACATTGAACTAATGTATCCTTTTGGCTATAAACAACCTCCCTTAAGTTACTAAAATATTTAACATATAGCCAACTGCTATATAAACCAGACTTAGAATCTGTAGATTTCAAATAGATTGTAGAACAATCAGCAAAACTCTAAACTTCTGAAATTCATTTAGCTTCCTGTTCAGGGAAAGATCAAAATTTGGCCTTCTTTCTGCAATGGTACTAATTGGTGTACGTAAGTGAGTTCTGGGAAACATTTTCACAAATCTGATTTATAGTCTTACTTCTGTAAGTGTATTTGGTTTGATGTTTGTAGACAGATGTTTGGCTCAGGTCTCCAGCAAATATCCTTAATCTCATTTGTAAAAGAATGTGGAGTATTTTTTTGCATTTGGAATGGCTGTCATGTGGACCTAGCTAATCTCAAAAAAGACTCCAAACAACTGCTTTACTAGGGTAGAATTCTTGTCCCAAGGTTTCCATCTACCATATACAAACATAAACAATACTTGAAGAATACATTAGTGCTGTGGTGCAGTTGTAATATAAAGATACCTTGTTCTCTTGGCCTGTCCGGGAAGGAGCGTTCTAGAGGAACACTATTCCATTTGCAATATTAAGTTTAGATTTATTTTTACAGGATTTACCAGCCTGTTTTATCCATACAGATAACCAAGGCCACTGAAGACCAAAATGCAAGTCAGCAAGTCAAATCTGTGAGAATGTGTAGCAATTCATAGGCAATGGAAAACTCAGTTAAATATGTACAAAGGCAGTTTGATCTATCAATGTGGAAATGAGAAACTGTTCAGTACTATTTCTTGATATTGTTCTCTTATGGATCACACCATTTCTTGTGAAGAACCTCTAAATAGACCCATTTGTAATTCAGGGAAACATCCACTGCCTGAAGAAGAAAAGAGAATATGTGTGTAGCTCTGGAAATAATGCCATGGTTTTTGCAGAAAAATTACATGCCTGCATTTGAAGTGTGCTGAGTGTCTCAGATTTGTGGCATGGTATTATTTCTGCTAAAGGATGAAACTCATTAATACACAATGCACAATACACAATATTCCAATTAATTGCACAGGATTTTTGGGCCATAAACTATGGATTACTAGGTATTTTTCCACACTTGATGCTGCCAAATTTACATTACCAGCAGCTCTGTTAGTGATTTCAGGAAAACCAGAATTTAATTATTCAAATGACTGCAGATTAATTCACTTGACAAATAAAAGGCAATTCCTCAGCCAGCCATTGAAACATCTGCAGCTGGGACTTTTACAGCCCTGAGCTGAACAGACCCTGAAAGTTATCCACAGGGCTCTTAAGAAACAGTGGCTTCTGGTGAGATTTACAGCCTGATTCTTACTCCAAATGCTTCTTGCCAGTGAGAAGTCTTGGAAAATATGCTAGTTGGTGGAGGTATGCTTTTCCTAGGACAGACAGTTTGCTTTGACACTGCGTTAATGGATTCAGTACCCAGCACTGCATAGAATTCTTGTCAGGGCAACAGTGATACCCAGTCTTTGCCCTTCACACTTCCTTGGGAATGGTATAGTGCAGAAGCAATCCGAGTTTATTTCCCTACTTACACTGTTATTTCAGACCAGGGTGGTAGGATTCACTCAAATTAAAATCTGCATTAGTCATCCACATCAGAATTAGCCCTTCCACAAACCCTGATCTGTAGAAAGAATTGGGATTTCTGAGATGCAGTTTCTCTTATCTTAAAGACAATCCTGAAAAGAGTAAGGAGGGTGAATTAGGCCCTACAAAAGCATATATCCTTCTCCATTGGAAGCTAAGGATATATGTATATAACACTAGACGAGGTGAATTGCACCCGTGATGTCTTACTGACCACAGTTTAACTTCAGGGAAGATAACTTGTTCTTAGGCATTGACTTACCTCTCCAGTAGTGCCACTTCACTGTTAATCTAATGGAGAAAGCATTACTAGGCAAACTGCACATATATATGATATTGGCTGTCCAGTTTGGATGAGTTAGGTTGCTGTGTAGCCAAATGAATTACTATTGCCTTGTTATGCTATCAGGGGAAGCTGCTTAGGTATCTTTGTGTAAAAGCTTTCAGATTTTTTCAAGTTGGAAAGGACTGCCAGCTGGAGGACAGAACGGTAACCTGCTATAATCATCACTATGGCCATTCGGTTAGAAAATATACAAAGCCATCCTGCCTCAGTGAAATGAATACACATAGCCACACCTAGCACAACACTGGAGCCTTCCAGCAGAAATGACTTAAATCACTGAGATGTCAGTCCGGTGCAAGTTTCCCAGAAAGCTTAAGATTAAATTACACCAGACAAATGCACTGAGCAAGCAAGCCTGAGAAAGTAAACCAATGTGACTTCTTTTATCATGTTTCAGGAGGGAAAAAACCTTCATGCTAAATGCATGTCGTTCCAAGAGTAAATCCAAAGATTTGACTGTTCATAAATATTACACATTTATGAATGTGTCCCTGAGCAACTATGTTATACGTAACCATGCAGTCGGTCATACCCAATACAACTAGATAGGGTATCACCTGAAAACTAACTTCCAGACACGATATGCTGTCCTGGGAGCTCTGGTTATTGCTTGCTCAGGAAGCATATGTGTGCTAGAAACACTCCTGACTTGTTTGACTCATACATCTTACAGAAAATTCATGCAGTTTTCTCAGGAGAACACAGATTAACATGAGAAGACCTAACAAGTTGTTAGTGGCTCCCCAGAAGGTAGGAACAGCAGGCAGGGGAGACACTTGCCCAGCAGGAGAGGAGAAATTTCAGCAGTCACAGTGAGTGCATGATGGAGTCTGGCCTCCATGATTAGTATTACCTCCTGCAGCTGCCCACCACAGATAACAGGCTCTGACAGTGCTCTGCTGGAAGTAGTTCTTCTCCAGCTGATGCAGCAAAAGTCTGTTTTGAGCAGATGGGGCTTTACACCAATCTATTCCTTGCCTGCATGTAAGCATGTCTAGCTTACCTATTGATAGTGTGTCTAGGCACTGTAGAAACGTCTCTGAAAGACTTCCCGTTACTGGAGAGGCAGAAAGCTGGCAGGAAGACATTGCTGCTCTGCTTGTTGTTTATGGCCAAGAGTGATGAGGGCCTCTATTCCGTAACTGGCACTGCCATGTGCCATGGTGGTGCAACTAAGTACCTGCAGACACCAGTGAAAAGAGCTGCAACTGTGTGGCGTGTTCCAGTCATTGATCCTGGAATGTGTGGAGTCCAGCTATTCTTGATCAGTGAAGTATTTGTTTTACAAATCCTACTTTATATGCAGTTAACATTAACCCCTAATGCACAGTCTCTCTGCTTTCAGATCCCAGTTACAATAATGAAGCCAGATGAGAAAGCTGAAATACCAGTTGGTGTTGTTATTGGTAGTATATTGGCTGGACTTCTGCTGCTGTTAGTATTGGTTGCCGTTTTGTGGAAAGTAAGTAGGTATTTATATTATTAAAAAGAAAAGAAGAAAAGGACAAATACATTTGGGCTGTTTTCTTTGGAATCTCTCTGGTGCTGGAACAAAACTGCAAATGCAGTTTGGTGGTATGAATAATACTGTATTGGCATCACACCCTTGATGGGAGCATTTAGAAAGGCATTAAACATCAAAATTCTGAAATGGGTCCCCACAGAAATTGGCAACGTGAAGGTGATAAATGATGTTTCAATAGTTCAAAACACGGGCTGTGACATTTAGTTTTTTCTTTCTGACACTGCCTGCCTCCTTCCATAACTCCCCAGCTGGGGTCTGAACTCTCATATTCCCAGTGGGCAAGGCTGGGGATTAGAAGCAAGGAAGGAGAGTATATACACCGAGCAGAGAAAAAGAGAACAGAGAAGGGTGAGGACAAAAAGTCATTTACAAAGGATACCAAGATTAAGAGGAGAGAGAAATTCTTCTATGTGCCAGGGCATTGGTGTTTGAAGGGCTCCTTAGCACTCCAAGGAGACGCCTGCATCTTGGCAGGGAGTAAACTGGCTAATCAGCAGTGCTGTTTTGGCATTTAGTTGCACCAGGCAGGAGTTTAAGGCCAGCTCCTTTTACTTTAGAGTTAGGAATTGTCTACAAATGAAACACTGTATGTGTGTGCATGTACACATACTCATTTCTACCAGCACACTATTTAGTTTAGCTGAGTAAAGTAACAATCAATGACTTACTGTGATGTGGTGTTATTTTTATACTTCTCACAGCTTGGCTTCTTCAAAAGACAGTATGAGAAAATGACACAGGATATAGAAGATGTTGATGAAATTACAGAACTCACAAAGGACAAAGACTGAAGATGATGAGTTACATGGATAAAGAGAAGAGATCTGAGCCACCAACATTAATTGTGATCCAGTTGGTTCTTCAGCTGGAGTGCCTTAAAGCTTAGTAACATTTAAACATTTTTAATGAAAGTGTCTTTTTATAGATGAAAATATTTTACAAATTCTACTCTATTATGAGAGTAACTGCAGGACAGTTTGTTGGTTGTTTTTTGGTTTGGGTTTTTTGTTTGTTTTTTTTCTCTTTCTTCCCCCAAAATGATTTATAGTGCCTTTTCTTGGAAATTTTTGCTTTTTAAACAAACTTAGCCCTTAGAACTGGCAGGTCCGGAGTTTACAGTAACATATTGTGCCAGCAGTCCTTCTCCCGATCCCACTGGAGAGTGAAACAGAGCAATTTATTTCAGATTATTGGGAACGGCATCAGTTCGTAATTCAGTTGACAAGTACCATATGTGTAAAGGACATTTTCTATTAAGTTGATGATGAATGTGTGGTGAATACTGCTTCCAGACTGCGAGAAGAAAAGTCATTTTTTCATTGACTAGCTCCATCCTTATTGTCTCAGAGAAATAATTTGCACCAGAAACCCTTTGTCTTAACTAATCTATAAAGTGGGAACTGCGTATGAAGATGCCTGTCTGGGTGCTACAGGACAACTGGATGGCCAAACTGTTCCAAAAGTTCATCACATTCCTTGCACTAAGGTCACAACTAAATTACTGAAGTATATTGTTTGGGGGAAATATTGCCAAATAGTATGTATAACTGCCTTCTGCATACTTTCTCTCTGAGAAGAAAATACGAATTTCATAATCAGGGCGTGTTTTCCAAATGTTGTGATTGGTTTTCACACTTAAGCTTGAGAAGCACTACCACTACTGTTACACTGGGCTTTAAGCTCACAGTCCCTCTGACGTGAGTTTGATTAGGTATATGTAAATAGGGAAGACAGTCAAGATCTTGCCTTTCAATTCTGTAATGAAAGATTCTGCAGGACTTGACTTAAAGCATGAAGTGAATTAAAGGGGATGATCACTGGGGAAGTATGCGCATTAGGACAGGGGATATTGAAGATTTAAGCTCTGTAAATTGTTTACTGCACTTGTTTCTTTAGCATCTCAGTGCCCTCCAGGAGACCAAAGTTCAGTATGACCTTCTTACCTGTCACATTTTATTTGGTCCCTCATGTTCAGGCCATGATGAAGTTAACTTATGTTTTATACAGTAAAGTACTGTAGTGCTCTGGAAGGAGCTCTGAACACACCACTTGGGTGACTGTGTTGGTTACACACCTCAAGTTTATCAGATGCCATTAATGCTGCCTGGTTTTAATGAAAGCTCAGCCTTAAAAAGGCACATGCTATAAGACTGGTAACAGTCAGGGGAATTGGCCTTTTGGCTGCCTTTCTCTTTCATGGCTGGCAGTTACATTTATAATTGATGTGTGTGTTGCCTTTATGTACACTGCCATGCAAGTGAGATTGTTTCTAAATTACTTGAAGAGCAAAACATTTAAATGTGCCTGATTCAGAATCCAAAGTCATGTTTTCTTTCCCCCCAAGCTAGATTGTAATTATGCTTAGGCACCTTTCAGATTATTTTCTGAGGGACTCTTCAAAACTAGTCTTGAGATTGTTTCAAAGTTTTACTCAGTTTCTTTTGATCAGTAATCAGTTGGGAGCCAACCATCTCTTTGGCAAATAATAGCTTCATTTGCAGTGACAGCTGGATTGTGATCAGTGTACTTGTATATGAGTTTTGGATTTATTTTGTAGCTATGAAATGTTATGTTTTGGGGTGTTCTGTTGTTTTATTTTTTTTACATTCTGAAAAACAATCCAGATTCTAATATTGACTGTCAAGCAAGATTGTTTCCATCAGCTGAATTTATGCCCTAAACAATTACTTAGAAAAGAAAAAAAAAAGTAGCAATTTCATAAACCTAAAAATTAAGCTCCTGACTTTGTAATTATAAACCCTGAGGGCAGATGCTCTGAAGAAAAGATAAAAAATTGTCTGCCTCAATTCCTGTATAAACTTCTGTGGAAGAAAACACCCTACACCCATATGTGTGGGAAGCTCCTACATAACTAGGGTCATGCACTGCAGGCCCAGAGGGGGAATTTCACAATGCAGCAGATGGCAGCATCCTTCATTTCTGGTGCTGCCTGCAAGGGAAATGTAGGCATCCAGCCAGATTTCCTTCTTCCACCTTCAGTGGGAGGTACAGGTCAATATCTGACATCCAGCTTTTTTGGGGATTTCACAGTTTATTAGTCAGGTAGCAATGATGCAATTCACCAGTCTTCACTGGGTTTTGCTTTATCCCAAGAATTATTTTCCCCCCAGCCTAAACACAATACTTTTTCCCAAAATAAAGGGAAGGCATAGCAATAGGTAAGGTCTTTGTATCCTAACCACTTCAAGTTACTAGTTTATTTTTCTTTTACAATTAATTCTTAAATGGCTAGTTCAGTTTATGTAATGGATGAGTTTATTGCACTTTTAACTTGGCACAGCCACAAATAATGCTGGAAATATTATGTATATTTTGTATTATGTGCAAGGGGTCGGTTACTGGGGTTTTTTTTTTTAGTTCTACTTTTCTAAATCAGCATTTTACAGGTCAAAAAATATTCTAAAATCCTGAGCTTTGGCATGAGCTTCCGTTTGTGCTTGCAGCAAGAAAAGTCAGGAATACCTTCAGCAACCTCAAGCTGTATCTGATTCTGGTCTTGAAATCTAGTTGCTGAATTCTTGAAGTACTAGCCAAGTCCAAAATCAGACTTAGTTCCATATGAGCCCATGTATAGATTTGGGATGTGCAAGAGAGTTTGTATTCAACTGACTTCTGAAAGCTAGCATGTAAGCTCTATGGGAGCAGGGACTGTATCACTGTGGTGCCTACCTGAGGGCCCAACAGTGTTACTACAATAAAAACAAGAATACTGCTGAACACAGACTCATTTATTTTTCAAACAGAACCCTAAAGAGAAGCACTGCATAAAATGAGGCCAAATGTCTCTTTGTTCCAGTAGCACATAATGAAAACCCGAAGGGGATGACTCTGCTACATATACAAAGAAGCTGCACTTCATGCCTTGATTGTTATAGTCACGAGTATAACACTACTGGTAAGCTATATTGTAGTCTGAGTCAGTTCACAGTAGTGCAAAATATCTGTATTTGACTAGCTCTGGTTGAATAGTTGGTGTTAAAACCTTACTATGTCAGGTCTTCCTATGCACATGGGGTTACCATCATTAGCATCTAAAATTTCACTGTATTTTGCCATTCTCATGCCCTACACTTCAGACTATGTACAGAATTGGTCAGCAGTAGCATGTCCTGACACCAGCTCAAGGTACTCCCCACCATACAATGGAAAAGATGAATGCAACATTTCAACAAGAGAGGAAGACAGCAGTAAAAGAATCACAGCAGTAACTATGACCTAAAAACTAGCCACTTTCACAGAGTTTCCTTTCTTCTTCTCTGCTCCCCCCCAACTCCTCCATGCTTTTAATTGTGGTATATAAACACGGAGGCTACTGATACATCTATAATACAGAACCAGACTACCCTAATCTTAAGGCATAAGAGTCCATCTTTTACCAAGTCTCACTGTTCTGCAGAATTGAAATCCAGATTCCTTATGTACTGACTTACACGTATGTGCTGGTTTTGGCTGGGGTAGAGCTAATTTTCTTCAGTTGGTGTGGGGCTGTGTTTTGGATTTTTGCTGGAAACAGTGTTGATAACGTGGGACATTTTCATTACTGCTGAGCAAGGCTTACACACAGTCAAGGCCTTTTCTGCTCCTCACGCCACCCCACCAGCAAGGAAGGAATTGGGAGGGGACACAGCCAGGGCAGCTGAGCTCCACTGACCCAAGGGATATCCCACACCGTATGACATCACGCTTAGTATATAAAGCTGGGGGAAGATGAAGAAAGGGGAGACATTTGGAGTGATGCTGTTTGTCTTCCCAAGTAACTGTTACGCATGATGGAGCTCCACTTTCCTGCAGGTGGCTGAGCACCTACCTGACCACATGGGAAGTGGTGAATGAACGCACCCTTTATATCCAAATGAACGCAACCCTTTATATTCAAAACGGAGGTACAACAAAAACTTTAAAATCAAAGACTAAACAAAATGAAGGTATGAAAATGAATCTCAAAAGCTGTAGCTGATTGCGACAACTTTTTATTGCCTTTAGAGGTAATAAAGTGTATGTAATTTTCACAGCCTCAGAATAGCCAAGTTCTACCTTCTAAGTCAACCTTTCTGCCCTCATTTATGATCAATTCTTTATATGCAATCACAGGCTTTGGTGTGCTAGCAGTTTTTAAAATGTATTTGCCTCTTAAAGCACTCAAAATGGAAATTTTAAAACAAAACTGCTATAAAGATACATTACAATGCTAACTTTTGTAACACTTGGAAAGATGAAATTGTATGGTTGGTTTGACTGGTTTGTTTTTAAAGACAGGCCTTCAGTACTCAAATAAACTTCTAATTTATAGTCATCAACCTATTCTGAGCTCTCCCTCATTAAGTACCTCCACAGGACGCTTAGTGGAAGAGTTCAAGAGTGAGCTTCCAGAGCTTTTTCAGAGGCAAGGGATTGCACTGTCTGCTTTCACAGACAATTTCACTTTGTTAATAATTAGTTTTAGCAGTTTTTTCCTTTTATTGTTTTTGATGGAGCAAATGAATGTGTTGGTCGATAAAACTACAGATTTCTTGAACGGCTCTGGGAAAAGTGAGCCGAGGAAAGAGCCGAAAATCTTGTTTGAAGCTGAGCAGTCTAAAGGCTTCATTCCTGAGTGCAACAGTGGCACTTCCATGAGTGACAGCAGAAGCCAGCGCCTGTTATGTGCCAACAGAGCCAGCACCTGGCCAGGCTGGGATCGGCTCCTCCCGCACAGCCGTCTCTCGGCTGCCATCTCCTGGGTAGGCTCCTCATAACACAGTCCCGTCCCCCTCCCCGTTCATTTCCTGACAATCCATCAGTAACTGTTTTCATAGTAGGCATCCGGTTGAGCTTCTCTTGAGAACAGAGAATAAAAGATCAAAATCAGGAAAGGAAATTCTTAAAATTAAGCAATGTATGTATATGGACGTTCTACCAGACAAAGGGATGGATCAGTGCATGCGTATTTTGCCAGCAAAGACCAAGACATCTCTTCAGGACAAATTCTCACTCTGAAGACATGCTCTTCCCTTCCACAAACATCCCTCATCTGGGAGATCTCTATAGGAACCACAGGATGACCCTCTGATCTTAAGCATCTGTTCCTGGGAACATCTGTCTGCACCTGGAGCCACTACCACCTCTGCAACACACTGTGACACAGCTTGGAGAGCCCCAGAGGAGTGGGATTACCCTCCCCTATAGCCAAGGCAGAGAAACAGCCGGGCTCATCCCAGAAAGCCAGGACTGCATTATATATGGATTTGCAGCTGCCTATCACCCCATTTGTGGACCCCACCAGAACACAAGGTAGCTCTCATCCAGCAGCCTAGTCCTGCATTCGTGGAAACCAGGATATGTGCAGCCACATCTTTCCCTGACACGCAGTCAGACACAGCCGGGATTCATCCCCTGGCCTGGAAATTTGGAAGTACTTCTGGGTCGCTCCAGACATAGCCTTAGGCAGCTATCTTAGAACAGAGTAATTTGCTGTCTTCTGATAATACCCTAGCAGAGAGGGTAGCCCTACAGAGGGAGCCAGAACACTGAGCTCGAGGCATGGACTTAAAATTTCAGTGTAATACATTTTACCTCTGATTATGCACATCATCCCTCCTAAGGGTATTTCCATTTCGCTTTTAGATGCCAGCTGAAGAACCCAAAGTTACACAAGACTGATACATCATTGTTCCAGAACAAAGCAGTACTTGCCTCATGCACAGCTAGGGACACAAAATGACATTTCATTGTTTTGACCATGGCAGCGTACACACATTGTAACACTCAGCTGTGACTCAGTACATGTCTTCCATTCATTGTTCCTGGTCACTGTGGGGAAGTACACAATTATTCTTTCCCTTCTTCTCTGCACCCTCCTTCCCAGCTGCATTGCTGGTGGGGAAGGTGCACTTAAGGTCACTCTGGAGAAATACTCCAGGAGGCTGCAGCACTAGAGAGGCACTAGTGCAATACAGGAACTGCCCTTGGTCACAGGGGCCTGTGTACAGTTTAACTGGTTTAATACTACTGTTTTTCTGCACGAGAGCACAGCACCAGTATGCAAGGACTGCATAGGTTTTACTTCATTCATAAACCATCCACGACAAGGCAAGCTAGCCGTTTATTTTTGTGAAGTTAATACACTAATTAGTTGCATGGTAACAGCAAACATGAACAAGGGAAAAATGAACACCAAAAATGGGAAAGTTTGTGTATGTCTTTCTTTTCTAAAACCAGAATTACTTGATAGTCATGTCCTGAAACCAGGACATACAAGAACTGGTGTATACTCAGGATTCTGTACAATTCCTGGTAAAAATGTCATTCAAATAGCAGAGGGCTTCTCTCCAGCCTCCAAAGCAAAAGAAAACTCAACTTTGAATTTGCTCAGCTTTGCCTAGATAATAGGGCCCACACAGTCTAGAGGCTGCACATGTATAAGCACGCAAGGAGCAGCTGCTGTCCTGCAGAGGAAAGACTTTCTCACTTCATTAAGGGAAATGCATCAGTAAGTTAACAAGCACATTTAACCATACTTCTGCCTGAAGTTGTATGTTTCGTTGGGGTTTACTTATTTAATTCAGATACAGTAACCATCACTAAATATTAAGACTGATTGAAATCACTGGGGGGAAAAAGGTCATCGCCTATTTTTCTCATTTTATTTTGTACAGCATGCAGCTGTTTGTAGATTTTTACTGCAGACACAATGAAATGGGTTGCACAGCTGAGATTTAAATGCTATGTGATGTAACCATATATAAACTTGAGCAGATAATTTTACTTTTCCTTACTTCATTTCCCTTCCTTTATATCTATGTTGTCTACACTGATAATTATGACTAGATAAAACTGTGTCTCAACATTAGTAAAAATGACATACACAATGGGACTTTGAACTCTCAGCACTGAAACACTATCATGGCACAGTAAAATAATGTACAATCCTGAATGATGTGCTCTAGGTGACCCTGCTTGAGCAGGGAGGCTGGACTGGATGGCCTCCAGAGGTCCCTTCCAACTACAACCATTCTGTCATTCTGTAAATAATGTAAATAAAATTCTCTTACTCAGATGAGCAGCCCATAGTTTCCAAGTGGAAGCACAGGCATACTATGTCAGCCTCCTTATCTTTTAACTAGGTTTCAAAACAGTAACAAGAGGAAAACTGTATTAAAATCCTAAATGTGACTATAAATGCATATATAAATTGTAAGAAGTTCGGAAGACTTCCTTTCCTTTGAAAAACTAATCCACTCTGATGATTTTGAATCCTAACAATCTAAAGTTGAACTGCTACAACTAATTAAACTTATAGTTGTCTTTTTATATTAATTAGCTGGGGGTTTTTTATTTCTGCAGCACCATACAATTACACAGCCAAAAAAGCTCCTTCAAAATTAATCATGTCTAGACATCACTAAGTAGTTACAGGTTTGCATGTTATTGCTAATGCAATTTTGTTGCTGGTAGAGTATTTGATCTAACTTTGAATCAAGGTCTATCTATATTTTTTTAATGCAATGGACTTGTAGCACCAGCTGCACAGTAAAAACGCTTCCGTGAGACAGAGCTACTGGAACATAACCACTACTAAAAAGTTAACAGCTCTTGAGAATAGTTTGTATTTTCTTCTCTGTACCAAAATGTTTCGTCTACTTCAAGTAGCTTTCATATTACAAGAACATCAAAACAGCATAAAGCTTGAAAAATGACTCTACAGTCATATAAAATTAAACTACTTGTGAATTTCTTTACGATTAAAAAAAACCCCCACAATTGTCCTGTTTTGACCTCCCATACAGTCACAGTGAAGTAAGACTACCAGTGTAAAGACATTGAAGCAGTATGTATCACAGAAGACAAAACAACTCACAACCAAGAGTTTAAGGTAAATTGTTTTAAAATATTACTCCATTTCAAAAATGACCAAAGACATGATTTCAAAGGAGAGTTAAGAACACTTAATTATTACTCATTCATTTCACTCAGTCCTAATCAAATTACTGATTGAAATGTCTATTACACCTGTTTAAAAATATATAGATTCTTTGTAAAAACAACTCAAAACTAAATAATGCCCATTAGAAACAGTAACACTTTATTTTTGAAAGAGTTCAGTTATTTTCCTGCATTTGCCCAGAAGCATTCCTTGTTTTCTTTCCAAGAATATTCATCCTCATAAATCTCCTGCAAATATAAACAAAGAATGGGAAATATTGTGGGAGTCTGCTACACACAGCCACAAGCCAGGCAAAAAAACTCAACAGCCATCCTGCTATTATTTACTGATCTCAACAGGACTACACAGCATTTGGACAGCAAACAGAAAAGAGGCCAGCACCCTCAGAACATACTGACTTACATGTGGGCGGATTATGAACCTCAGGCTGAGCCCTATTAAATATAGCCAATCCATACTGAAGTTAATTCAAGAAAGAGATCTTGAAGAAACTATATAAAAGCTGTAGAGTACACAGCACTATATCTGAAACTGCCCTTTTTGCATGTTGCCATGTTACTGTACCATCATTTACAGGCGAGCACTTAAGTGTATGTAAAATGTCAGTATTAAAAAAACAAAAATTACAACATGCAAAATACAGTAAGTATTTAATCTCCAGGACCAACTGGACTACCCAGCTGTCCAGTCCTACCCAGCAAATTCAGCAGGGCTCTGAGCCCCTGCTTATTCTTTCTGGGACCACAGAACTCCAGTCTCCTGAAAGAAGTGTCAGAAAAGTGGAGTAATGAGGAGCATCACACTTATCACATGGCAAATTCTGCCTGGGAGAGAAGGCAGAGGTAATACTCATCATTTGCATGCAACACTGTGGTTATCCAATGAGGCTCTTCTAGACCCAGGCTGGTCTCTTCACACATTGTTGTGTGCCTATACTAGCTTTGGGACCTCTGCTCATCCCTTCATTGTGTGCTGTTGCTTAATGCTTTGTGTTTTCTCAAGGCCACAGGGATGAGGGGAAAACAGAAAGACAAGAAAGCCACTTTTACTTGCAAACTACAATGCTGTTGAAAGCAAATCTGACTCAAAGCCCTTCCATAAGCCTCTGCAGAACTGTGTTCTGCCACTCAAAAGAGGAGAACTCAGGGCTCCTTCTCTTTGACCCCAGGATGGCATTAAAGGAAGATGAGCTAGATGGTACAGGAAAGCGAGGGCCTTCCAGGTGCCCTACGTGCCACAGACTGGACTGGCTCCATTAGAGGAAATCACTGGTGTTAGACATTTGGCATCCATCAGGAGCAACTGCTGCCCACAGTGCTTCAGTTGATTCCCTTAAGAGCGGCAGTCTTCAGCCCAACTGTTTAAGGCTCTGGCACAGGCCTATAATCAAGTTTGTCCCCAAACATACCTTTTTCCATATTGGGACAGACGCTTTTAAGGTATTGATGCAGTACATTACAGCTTCAAGGGATTCTGCTCTATGTGGAGAGGAGACTGCAATAATTACACTTGCTTCAGTTATTGGAACCACACTAGGGAGAGAAGAGGAACAACAGCAGCTTTAGCTAATGCTTAACATCAAGAGCACCCAAAAGTTGTGGCCATGTCACGTCAGTATTCTGGCCACACACTCTCCTGACTCATTCATACTGAGCAAGTGTCAAGCCGTGTTCAAGATTATACACTTTTTAAAAGAAAGAAAACCACAACCAAAATCAGTACCAGATGTGAGAATTCCACAATTCAGAATAAATAAACCCACCAGACATAGGCCTTTTTTCTCCCATTCTTTCTTCTTTTTTTTATAATAAAACTTATGGAATTAAAAAGGGAAAATCACTAACTTGCAACAGTACATAGGAAGCTCACTGGATACTGGCTTAATAAGAAACCATAACAAGTTAGGAACAGCCAGTTCTTATCTGAAAACCTAAGAAATCATCTCAGTCTGCACAAGAATTTGTGAAAGAAGAAATTAAGTGCTTCAAACTATGCAGATTTTGCAAGGAAAATTTTTGACAAATTTGAGTTTCAAATTATGAAGCTTTTCCTGTTTAGTGTGTTATTAACAAAAGTAGCACAAGGTTTTGTTTTGCTTCTCACAAGGGCAATATTCCCAAGAGCTGCCTCCCAACCACCCCTTTATAGTAAGACTCCTTTGGCAAAGAGGTCATATGAAAATCTAAGTTTAAATGCTTTAAGCCCTCAAGAGAATCACTCTCTCTGTTGACTGTAGAGGAAATCCAAGGAAACTACCCCTCTGAGCTAATATTACCCTTTATGATCACCTCCTAAAGTTCCTTCTGCTGAGAGAAAAGGAAACAAGTGCTTGCAACATACTCCGCATACCCTGCTAGTTTCAATGAGAAATCTGATGAACCGTGAAGGTTCAAGTCTATGTCAGACACTAGCATTCCATGTTTTGAACACAACAGAAAATGCTTGTCCAACACTCAAGGAACAACAGGAGGTTCTCCAGCAAACATGGCTGGCAATTACCATGCCTCTCCCCTCCCCACAGTCTTAAGCTTTCCCTATGGCACAGTTTAACTTAGATCTGACAATAAGAACACTCTGTGGTATCTCAATGGAAAAGAGAGGAAAAAAGAAAATGCTGCCAACTTTACATCTTTAAAAAATAAATAAATAAACCAACAGCCTCTCCTTTCCTAGAATGAAATCTCAGCCCCTTCTCCCCACTTGCAAACTATCACACCAGCATCAAGGACCCTGCTGGCTAAATGTGGACTCCAGCAAACGCTACCAGTATACACATCTTTGAAAAGACAACTTCTTAAAATTAGCTCCACAGTGCAAGCTTGATTCTGCAGCCAGCTTTGCTGCATCACAGTTTATAAAAAACTCCTGTACCTCCTGCAACTACATAAGCATGGCCATGCACCAGACAAGATTTAATATGCCACTTGCAAAAGGATGGGGTCTGGCCATACGTACCCAAGTCTATGGTGCACTGCAATATGTTTGACTGATGGCCATTTCTGTCTAACATCTCTGCAGATTTTCATTATTTCGGTCTCTGCCATTGAAGTATATGCTTCATATTCTAAGTGAATCACTTTTTTCCCTTCAAAATTATTTCTTGTTGTACCTAAAATGATTTATCAACCAAAAGCACTAAGTAAATAAATACATATGTTTATAATACACTACATTACATACATATTATATAATAATATATTATATATAAATACCAAATAAAACCCCAGATCTCCTGCTACAGGCAAGGTCAGCATTGTGCAAATACAAAAAACCTCCCCTAATCATGGCTGTGTTAAGATTCTTGAACAAGAGAAATCTTTAATATACAAGGAATAATTTTGTTTACATATTATGCAAGTCTGCAGCCTGTAATGCCCAAGGCTGGGACATCTCCTGTGGTAACTGCTCAGGTGCTATTACTGCATTTGCCCATGTAACATTTAAGTGCTCAGTAGTTAGGAGACCAGTCGCACTATGGTTTAAGTACAAAGATGTTTCATGATGGGTACCATGTACATTAAGCAACAGGCCAGAGTTATCACCAGACTTTAACCTTCACCAGCCCATGGGTAGAACAGTACTTTACATTCAAGAAAGACCTGAGTTGTAGGAGCTTTCCTACAGGTGTGGACCCGTGGTCTGACTAGCCACAACATCCCACTTCACACCTTTAACGACTTATGGCCAAGGGTATGGGAAAACAGCTCCCAAGCAATCCTGCAGTCCAGAGCTGCTGTTCAGCCCTAGGACAGCCGCAACAGCAAGGAAGCTTCTCACCACTTCATCTAGAGTGCAACTGTTCACGAGCTGCCATGGTCTTGTTCTAAATAATTCAGAACGTGTTTTCTAAAAATCCTGGGTTTGGTCCAGGAATGTATTTATTTATTTGACAAGCACGAGCGTGGGGTGTGCACAATTAGACTATTAACACATCCAAAGATCCAGCTCAGAAATACTGAACTCACCAATGAACAGAGACACTGCCCCACAGCAGGGTGAAATGACCAGCTCTGACACTTCGTCTACAGAGAGCTTTTCAGACTTGAGCTTGATAAAATCTTTTGGCACGTCTTCCCTTTCATCCATAGCTCACTAGAAAAGCTGAAACCAGACAAACTCTGTTGTTGGTTTTGGCGATACTAGCATTGCACAACTGCTTTTTATTCAGTGCTGATGCCTCAGTTTATATAGAAAACATGCACCATCTACTTCCTTGCCTCAGGAGACCAGTCTCCATGGCAAATTCAATTCTGAGCAGTCTTGCCTCAACTGCAAATATCAAGCAATGACCTGGTTTTTAAGGCAAACAGGTTTCTTTCCTGTTCAGAAAGCCTGGTCCAGTAGGGCAAAACCAGAACTAGTCTGAGGCCTCAGTTTAACAGTACAACCAAACACCATGGACCACTGTGCTAGTAAATTTGTGGCAAGACTGTCATCCTCTCCTACCTAAATCATAGAGAAATCAAACAAAACTTAAAATAGAGATTTCTGATAAACCCGAATTCGAGTTCTAATCTTAAAGTTTAATATGCTCTCCAGGACATTTATGACCTCATCCTATCAGTCTGTTCCAGTGACACAGGAGACAATTCTAATTTCTCTGAGCAGAAACTGGTCCTCAGTTCATGTAAGAATGAGAAGGAAACAAAGTATTTTGAGCAGCAGGGAAGGAACAAGCTGCAGTAAATCACAGAATTGTTAGGGTTGGAAGGGACCTCAAAAATACATGGACTGGCACTTCAACGCATGCAAAGAAATGGAGCTATTCTAAGGACACCTGTTCCTTTGACAGCAAATAATAAAAAAATAAAACTAAAAATTTAAAAAAGCAGCAGTTACTTCTTTTTTCTGTGTCATCTTTTCTGTTAAAACAGTGACATGAGGTTTTTCATTATTATCTTACTTAGGCAAGCTGAGTATCTACTAGCAGACAGAAACTACAAAAGAATAACAAGACCTAAAACCCAAATTCAAAACAATGACTGACCTCTCTAGCAATTTTCTTTCATTTACTGTTCATGTGTTAATCATTTACTGGTGCACTAACTTATAGTTTCTGGTCAGCACAATGGTTTTCTTCAGAAAAAAGTTACGTTCTCTCAAAACAGTACCAGTATGGAGGGAGAGAATTGCAATCACGTGTCTGGACCTAAAGCGAAAAATAAAAAACAAAGGTTATTGGAACATTACACAGAATCCATGAAGTATTTTACCACGGAATGACACTCCATAGGAAACTAAGCAAGAAGTGATACCTACCTAACAGAACTTGGGTAGATTCATCCTCCACTAATTGGTGGGATGATGGCAACCTCGTCTCCGGGCTGCAGGACCAGGAGCTGATCTCCAAGAATCACGTACTCCTGCCGAACAGCAAAAACTACTTGATCTTGGATGACAGCAAGCCTGAGGGGAATTGGCAGGAGCACAAATAGATTTCTAAATACAGTGTTTCCATTTAACCATGAGATTTCATTAAACAGCGAAGTGCTGCACCATCTAGGGCAGCTGAGGTAAACAGCATTGAGACTTACACAACTCTGCTTGCAATACACTTTCAAATATACAACAAACACCCACCTCCTACTCTTGGGTTTTCTTGTGATGGCTGTGGAAAAACCACGTCAGGTTTCTCCTGACTAACTTTCAGAAGTCAAGAATTGGATCTGTCGTAGGCCTGCATCAGAACGAACAAACGCATACCAGACCCACTTTAGCAGCTTCTAACAAAGCAGGTAACTCAAGAGGCAGCAACCATCCAATCTGGGATAAGAAGGAAATGTTCCCCTGCTTCAATCTGGCAGGATTAGACCAATTTGCTTAAGTGGCAAGAAGCATTATGGGATGCTGTTTGTGAGCTCTCATGAAGATTCACTAGTCATAGAGTTGCTCTTGTGTAACCTCACAGTTTATGATGCTTTAGGTCTTTTGTACTTTCAGGTCTGAAATTTACTATTAATAAGGAGTGGCTACAGAACTAAGACGGCAGGTATGGTGTGTTTTCTGGCAGATCTTCTAAACAATTTTGGATTTCACATCTGTGAGACCTTGCTGTGAGAGTCCACAGCTCTGGATACCATGAGACAGGGACTCACTCATACTAAGTACAATCAAATGGTGAGCATGAGGACACCACCAGTAAGACACCAGAAAAAGAATGCAAACATTTTTCTTTAGAAGGTGCAGGGCTGATAACTGTTACTGTCTGAGACTGCAAAATCTGGCACTGGCAGCAGAAAGCTGTATTGCTTAGAACAAGTAGGCATGCCAAAAGGGTACAACTAAAAGTTATTTTACCAGCCAGATAGACAAAAGTAGGCAAAGCATAGGCTGAGCAAAACACAGTAGCACTGCGAAGGGTGTGAAGGGCAGGGTGAAGGGAGGGATTGTATGAAAGTAAAGCAAACCACTGAGGAACTGAGCACAGCTATGAAACTGAAGTGCCCATTAGAAGGATGGGCTCTAATTAATGTCATTTGTGAGTTAATTCATTGGAGAAAATGGGTGGAACAGAAGAGCATTGTCAAGTATGCTCAAGCTGCAGTTTGAATATCCATTAGCAATGTGAATAGAAGTCTGTGGTCAATACCCTACAATTAAGTTGAGGTTTTCCAGAAAAGCTAGGCACAGAAGCATTTTCCAAGAAGGCCACTGTGAAGTATCTGCACATGCAAAATGTACTGCCCCAAGTCATCATTCATAAAAAGACAAAGTTGACAAACTATGGCAAACTGACCAACGGTGCTGCTGCTGCTTCTGAAACAAAGTAAAATACATACACTCCCTAATGCCTCCTCCCCAAAAGCGCACTTAGACTAAACTCTTTGTGAGGAAAAGGTCCCTGGTCCAAGATTCGGCCAGAGCTTGTCACTTGAAAACATGATGGCATTGATAAATGGTTAATTTTCTTCACAGGCTTTGAGGCAGACCAAATAAACAACGGTGGTGCCTAAGGAAGACTCTGGCACCCAAGTCCCAAGGTTTGGAAATTCCAGGGCATTCAGCACTAAGTCCTGAGGACCTCAACCTCTCTTATACCTTACCTTTTTTCTTTTGTTTTACTCCACCCTCCAAAACAGTGTCGCACCTTTGTCCCTTTGTCTATCAGACCCATTCTTGACAGGACTGAGCGAGCACCTTCTCTCAGCCTTAACCTGACGGGGAATTTCTGCTGACATCTCCAGAGAGCAGCAGTGCACAGGAGTTCTTACAGTGCACACCTAGAGCACTCTCAGGATCAGACTCCCTGTGAAACACCACCAGCAGTCGGTGTTTGTGGGTTTTTTCAAAGCAGAGGAAACAGAAAGTGGCCGAGCCTATTTACTGTGTAAGGGCTGAGGGGCTGGAAATCTGTGACAGAGTTTCAGCTCCCTTCCTGAACCTGCCTTCTAGAGTGTGCCATAAGCTAAGCGTACCATTAAATGTAAGTGATCAAAAACATCTGCATGTTATCATTCATTTCTTATTTATTGCCCTCACTGTGTTTGATCCCTCCTTGAGGCATCTCACCTTCTCCACAGGTTAATAACACAGCCCAGTCCGCATGTGCAGCGTGTTTACATCACCGCGGCCCTCCCAGACAACGGGCCACATGTCTCAGGGTACCCCTCAGGCTCAACTTACGGGTACGTTTATTGGACCTACTCGTTCCCCATTTATACCTAAAGCTACAGGACTTCGAACTGGCCCAAACACAAAACAGTCGCTGCAGGTTACGAGACCAAGGTAATGTCGGGTTTATGGTATCAAAGTACTGACAGGTGTTCGGGCTCAACTCCAAACGCTGAATCCGTGTTTACCAAAGAAGCCCCGACGCCGCTGCCCTTGGTGCGCCGCGGCGGTAACTCTGCCGGGTACCTGGGGTGCACCTTGACGATCTCCTGCCAGAGCTGCAGCGCGGTGATCCGCCGTGGCACCGAGAGG